CATCGTAATAGCCAGTAGTATCTGGATACGATGGAAAGGCAACCTGCGTTAGGCAATAATCATGAGAAGTGACTTTGAAATCAGCTGGTTGTTCACAGCATTTTCATCTAACTCGAGAAGATCCTCAATAATCCGACACATCATCTGCGTTGATGATCTACGAGTTCTTGAGAGTATATTGAGTTTCGTCATCCAGAACTCCCGTGAAGTTGCCCGGACTGCCCTGACCGGCAGAGAGAATCCGGTACTACTAACCAGTAAAAATTGTGCGCATAGTCTATTTCGCTGTGTTTTGCATCCAATTTCTGAACAATGCACCCAAGGCTTGTGTGATGACAGAATATTGTAGTGTTGGTTATTATGTTAAGCATATATGCCTTATTCTGGCCTTCAGACAGGCCGATCTACTCATTATAATCGAGTTATTTATTGACCTTGTTAATTGCTCGCTTATCAATCCTGACTGTTCTTATATGAGCGTACGTGTGACTATAAATATTGATTAAATAGAGTTGGATCACACGCCTTCTGCACTGCGTGTCATTTCGATTCATATACAAAATGTATGTATTCGAAAGTCCATTCTCGGTATTTGACTTATTTAATTCCGTTATTTACTCAACACACATTAAATCAATTAAGATATACGAGAATAGTCAGGGTATACATATTTCGACAGATAACATTTATACGATCTAATCGGCGTCAGATTCTGGGCCGCGAATGTGGTGAGCCTGTCGACGACGAACCTAACGCAACAAGCTACGTCGAAAAGGGACTTCTGCACATTATACATTCGACGAACAAGCTCAACGGATCCAGCCCAATCTATAGTCCAAAGCACTTAGCGAAGCCTGTGCAGCACGACATGGACATGCTCAAAGCGTATTATCTTGTTGATACCTTATCCTCGTGTCAATTTTTCTCGCTGATCCTGATATATTGTGATACGAATAGTGAATGGTAAATTTTGGGATCCATTTATGGACCTATACTATGAGTATATTTTTATCGTGTAATTGTTATTTAACTAAACTGTTCATATTCATGTCGCTCTTATCATGCGCTTTATTTTTACTTATGAGCTGTTATTATACGATTTACCATTCTTGAATTATTCCCTGTCTTTTAATCACTACCTCCCACATTCACAGCCACATTTGTCCAAATCTTGTACAAATGTTATTTTCTATTTTATGGTACATTGTGGTCTGTTTGATTGGTATATAAACCCCGTGTGTTTGAAATAAATGATTCATATTGCAGAGGCTAAGATTGGTATTCTGGACTTAACTGGCTTGGCTAGACAGGAAGCGAGACCAATCAGGACTCTAGGCTGCTTGCATGTGTTTTGTGCGTCACTGGTTCGATCGATAATTCGCTGCTCTCTGACTGGCGGTATCGTTGCGTTATTCAATATACAGGGCACACGGGTTCACAAGTTATGACGGATCCATCTGGTAGACCATTCCATTATGATTCAAATTATCATCATATGCTCATTATTACATTAGTGTCCTAGCATGAATGAATGTGGGATTATTATTTTTGTTCACGCTGATATTTACTCAACTGCATCACTCAACCATCGAATTATAATGTTATATACACCCGATTCACGTTATGACATTTGCAACTCACTGGACTATTTCCATTTTAAAAAAAACGTAGAATTTTTCCGCTCTAAGTGAGTTTGTTCCATTTTTTCCCATGTAATTTTGGCCTAATATTACACTCATTCTCTTAGTCGAGGTCATTTTTCATGTTATCATACCACACATTCTAAATTTCGGTATTGCCTCTTATTATGTCCACCGATGCTTCGAAATCTACGAGCTGATTGGCAATGATTACGTTCATCTTATCTATTCGTCCACGTATCCAACTGCATGCTACATCAATCATCAATCAACAACATTATTCGACTACCACAAATACTATTTTGTTCCCATCGCACTGTATACCAGAACATAGAGTATAGTGCTAGTCTCTCAAAGACACACTCTTGTTCATCAAATCCAAGTCACTCTCACTGGCTGACATCTTTAATCATATGTCTTGGAATTTTTATCATGCCTTGGTCCTTTTTTTGTAACAAAGGAATACGACTCTGTGTACCTCATCCCCCCAATTACTATTATGTTCCTCTGATCATTCTACTAATGCATATTTAATGATAACTCAGTGCATATGTCATAACTCAAACGACAAGATATACTGACTTAACATTCTATGCTTATTATCAATCGTAGAAGAGCAACGGATATCACCCGTCGATGCATTTATCATTTCACAACTTGACTATTTTTATTCTATTAACAGGGACTCTACGTATTTAAATTCGAATCCACCCATCGATAAGCGAAGCTGCTTACTCTAATGTGGCTCGTTAGAGCATGTTCATATTTCACTATTCCGTCGGCATCAGAGACCAATTCGGCAAGACTCTAATTTTGGAACGAGCCAATCAGAAGCGTTTGAGCAATTTCAATTATTAGCCAATCAGAAGACAGTATAAAGTAAAAACATATTACAGGAAAGTAATGAATTGCAGTAGACATTCTTCTTTTACATGATTAAAAAACGTTTTAAGGTTTGATAAAGACTCAGAAGTTCTGAATTCATAATGCATACAGTATAGAAACTCGTCCATAAGGTTAGGGTTTAGGGTTAAGATTATGGTTAGGGTTTGGTTAGGATTGAGGTTAGGGTTAGGGTTAGGGTTTAGGGTTAATGTTAAGGGTAGGGTTTGGTTAGGGTCAGAATGCTAACATGAGATCGGTTTACATCGTATTTTAGGAAAGAGGTGTTTATTGAGAGGCTACAACCCTAACCCTAACCTAAACCTTAACCCTGACCTTAACCGTGACCCTAACGCTAAACCCTAATCCTAACCCTAGACTTCAACCCTAACCCCAAACCCTAACCCCAACCCTAACCTAACCCTAAACCCTAACCCTAACCTAATCCTAATCTTAACCCTAACCTTAATCCTAACCCAAACCCTATGGACGAATTTCTATACCGTATGCATTATGAATTCAGAACTTCTGAACCTTTATCAAACCTTAACAAGTTTTTAAATCATGTAAAAGAAGAATATCTACTGTTATTCATAACTTACTTATAATATATTTTCACTTTATACTAACTGTCTTCTGATTGATTAATAATTGTCAAGGTCATTTTAGATTCGTTCAAAGGTCGTCCCTAAATAAGAGTCTCGCCACCAATTCCTGTTATATTCTACTATGCTAATTTTCACGATTCATTTCACTGTCATACCCGCAAACGATTTATTACTGTTTACACGATATTTTAAATCGCTCATACAAACTCGTTTTCTTATCGTTCAAACAGTCATTAATGCGCTTATTAATTACCTCATAGTCGCATGCTAACATTTTCATTTTTGTTCGCGCCCTTGCGATATTCACGTATTCTTTTACATAAGTATGACACTTTCGTATAAAACACTTAAACCTCATGTGACACTGTACTTTACTGGATGTAGTACACTTTTATTGCTCTACTTAATGTCAACGTTAACCTCGTACTTCTTCAATATTATTTTTGAGAACGTGCATTATTTTCAAATGCTCTATTTTCTGTACACTCGGTAGGCAACATTGATTGCTATTTTGTTTTGCATTTTCTTTCCATCATCTTAGTATTTCAGTATGGGTTTTGGCCCACAATTGTGAAAAGCTTTTACAACTTATACGGTGCCTTTAATGTTAGTGCAAAATTTTTATAAGTTGAATTATTCTTTTCATACATTTGTCGTTTATTAATTTGAAGATGCCACAGGTATTTGAAGTTTGACAACGCTTTAACCAGTAACACCTAATATTAATCGTACCCACCAAGTGAAATCAAAAGACAGAGGCAAAGAGGTTCAAAGATATATTTGATAGGCTGTCTATATATCGAGGATCGTCTGACCCAATCGGGCTAGCTATTGCAAGGGTTGTTGAGCAAGGCGTTCCCATTCATGATTTGATGCGGATGCATGACCGAGCGTCTTCAGTTAGTTGAGTCCATTAAAAGTAATGTGGTCAGCATCCAGTGTCAAAGACTTACAGGGCTCTTTATTTTGAGGATCTATTTACAGCTACATAGTGTCTGGGGTTTTCGGAGATCAAGATTTGATTCACTATTAAAAACTACTACTAAGATGTTCTATTCTGCTAAAAAAATTTACAACGTTAATTGTCACTTTTAGTTCGAATTTCTGCAGCAGTTGGCTAGGATAATAGTTTTGTCCATGTTAAAATATCAAGTTAATTTTTACACATATTAAAATTAATGCAGTAGGGAATTTTCATTGTTTGCTTTAAAGGCATGTGGAAAAGTAATACGAAGAATGCTTATCATTTGTTCTTCTGTGCTTCGATGCTCCACTCATTTGAATTTACAAATCCGATAAGGGTATCAAAGCCCACGTTAGTTTACATTCTGAGTGGGATCAGAAGTATTACGAAACGTGTATTTTAGCATAATCGTAAGAAGCAGTCAATAGTCATCTGACAAAAGTTAGACTTGTAATAATTTTCTTACGATAGTAGTTATTGATTATTTTATAAAGATTTGAACTTTGAGTCGGCGTGGGCCAAAAAATTGCTAAATTCTGATTGCTCCAATCTGCACTTCACTTCATTTTTTATCAGTGAACGAAGATATCTCATTCTGTACACTGTGTTAAAAGATACACTTAGTCAGCGAAATGTTACTTGATTGAAATATTACTAATGGAACCCATCAGTTTGTTGAGTGGTGAGTTTATCAGGCTGCTTGAACAAGAAACTTTACTGCTATGAGACAAACTTAGTAAATTTAAACTCAAATCAAACAACCTATAATCAACTGCACACTTTACTGGAACTGCTGCATTTCGATTGTACGCCTCCAAAGACCTGAAACCATATCGTAATTAGGATAATACTTGCTCATATTGGAACATTTTACTCAAAGCCAGGGAAGTGATTTTAAATTCACGCGGTTGTTTTGGGGTAATACAAGGTCGTTCACACGGTTATCTTGCTAGAAATTCAGTCATTAATTATAATCGTATAAATATGCGCTCAGATGTCATTGAATTGTTCACATTTAATTTCATCCACACAATTTTCTTACTAATGGAGGTACATTTAATGACTTGTTAGCTATTCACCGTAAATCCTCGAGCTTGAGGTTCAAATTTTGGGATCAAATTGGGCTTCAATTTTGGGGGAAATCTGAGCCGTTTTAGGTGAGCCACTATAGTAAACTTTGTGGAAATAGCACCAAGCTCCATAATTTTCTCAGACCCTGGGGGAATTTCCCTATTTTTTCTCAAAATTTCTCTCTAACCTTAATGGAGGTCATTCGACTTTGTGGGTTCCCCCAAAATGTCCACAAAGTTTGGAGATTTAATCAATAATATCTCAATATTCCGTAATCGTGTGGTCTTATAAAGCGGGGAAGCCATATCACTTAGGGTCTGATTTTTACTTGGTTACATTTTTCTTGAAATGTCGTCTCTTCCAAACGATGCTCAAAAAGTGTCCCTCCCACTCACTATAGATACATTAAAGTAAGTGGGATACGACTGAAAACCCTCGAGATCAGAGAGCTGACAAATGATATACGCCCAAGTATATTGGCCTTCTGTGAAACTTGGCTTCCAAAATGTACCATCAACAAGGAGCCTTCTCTTCCAGCTTTTCCGTGGCGATTGTTCATTGGTATGACCTTCAAATTATTTATATGGGCGATCACACGGTATCAGATTTTGCCCTACTCTGTCTGACTTTATCGGTGATAAGTGCAGTTCCACAAGGCACAATCGTTAAAGGACTACTACAAAGAAAAGTTACTTTAAAGGTATTCAAACTAGACGATAAACCCCACTCAGCCCTCTTGGAAGCTCCAAATTTTCAACCTGTAAAGTTCAAAATGACCAAAGGGCATATAATTTATCCATCTTGTAACTTATACTCTCCACACTGATAGTTCACTAGTTGATTTTAGTGCTAAATTACACCTAAGACAAGTTCTATTTAAAATAGAACATAAAAGAGGTTGCATATGAATCCATGCGTACTTTACTTTAGTTAGAACCCTTAAACTATAGAACTCCTAACTATAGGCTATGGTAACATTCCGTTACGCGGTGTCTTTCAAGAAAGGGCTCGAATTTTGCTTAAGTTCCGTAGGTTCCGAAAGTGACTACTTCGTTACGTTTCGATTACTACCACTACTAATAACTGACAGTTTACTCCTCAGAGAAAAAATCTTGTAAACGGGACTTCCATTGTCAAGAACACTCACCCAAATGTAGATCCAAGAAAACAAGTAGTTCCTTAATTCTACCAAGCAATGTTTTAGTTACCTAGCCACTTATTCTAAGTCAACAAATGTTAGTGAGGTGCCATCAAACTGTCTATGCAACAGCGATTTTGTGGTTTGGTTTATGGTTGTTAAATTATCTTGATACAAGTTATTTACAGAATTCATGGTACTAACATATGGTTACCAAAATCACCGTGTGTTTACTGGTTAACGAACCAACTTATATGTATTCTAGCGGTGTATTTTTCTACATCAATGTATACTTCAAGTTTACTACCGTATGTTTAGCCAATTTAGTATACCTAAAGTCTAGCTCAACGTCATATTAGAACTTGAAACAATCTACTTCGGTTTGGGTAACCGGGTAGTCTCACTTTCACACTTAGAATGTGGCTCATACCTAAGTATCTTGTGGGTGAGTTTACGAAGCCGATTGAAGAATAGTCCTGTAAGGAACTCAAAGCACTAAAATACCGCGAACTATCCTGTATATATTATCTATTCTCAACTGCTCTGATGGCAGTGTTATCCTTTTTGGGTAAACTTGTTAGGTTAAAAGAGACCTGGCGAACTACGAATACATTTTTACTTTTTGATAAAGCACTAGACTCACTAAACTTCAAATGTCTGCTCAGCGTATGTGACGATAGTGGTGATCGAGTAGTAAGACTTTATGAATCATGTCTGACCCAAGATCTAAAGGAAGACGGCGAATAAACACGGCCGTACCACTGCTACTGATTCTACATCCAACTGGCGTAATCAGCTGTTGATCACGAGTATTAAGAGAGCCTCAACTATAATGTGCACCTACCGACTTGGCTCTGTCGAGTGTAGATTGATACCTCGTGATATTCTGTCCGTCCCTAGCCTCTATATAATTTATACTTACGTTAACCAGCTTTGGGTTCGTATCACATATCTAAACGATCTCGGTACATAGCTTCATCAATCAACCTAAAATTCGTACCTAGTGCCCTGCATCTAAATTCAGTAGTACTCATCGACGGTTTCACCATATGCAAGCATTGTTTTTAAGTCATCTACTATTGAATACGACTCCGTGAATTTTATACGTGTATTGATCATATTTTGTAGCCATAAAGTAATACAGGTTTCACTGTTGTTGGTAAACTAATATCTTGCAGTAAGTGACGCAAATTTACAAAACTAGTCATACTTTTCCAATCCATGCCGTGGTTTTTTTCTCACACCAAACTACTAGATTCGGTAAACCCCCAGGTAAAAAGTTAGTGCAGTGAACTGATTAACTCCTGGCGACCTGTCTAGGAATGATTCTGATCAATATAGAAGCAACACTTTGCATTTAGATGTAGAGGAATATATCTCAAACATCCTTGCATTGTTACTCAAGGCTGTCACCAACCTATGGGTTGTGTTAGCGTCTTTGCTGATTAGGACTATGTCGTCTGCATATTGTACGTCGATAAGTGATCTTTCTTGTAGAGAACCAATCCTTTACATTTTCAACGATAAAACGTTATTTTTTAGAGAATATTTATTACAGAATTAAATAAGAGTATCCCTAGTTAATAAGATATAACCAGTTTGATAGCTAATGTGATATGCACGTCCACATTCAGGTCTGAAATCAGCCTGATTCTCGCGGGTTTGAAATGGAAAGTGCTTTCAATAACATTTTCAGGAAACCGTATCTACACTTGGGAGCCATTTAAGTAGATGCATTAATATGGATAGTAATAAATTTGTATGACGAAATTCAGAGAGACTTATGCTTATCTGATTTACCCCTGGCCCATTTTACCACTTAAACTTACCTAGAATTCGAGGGATTTTCACAAAACTTTCAATGTTATATGTCTCACCTCATTTATGAGGTAAAATCAAGTCAACGACTGTCGTCTATGTGAATAAACATATCAGTATTTTGTTGTTACAAATTTTACATGTGTCACTATATGTACTTTTTAAAGGTGAATCAAACCAATATCATTACGAGGTAGAATAAACGTTACTAGAACTAAGATATGCATTCTAAATCACTGTCACAATTATAATTGCTTATACCAGCTGAATTTTGATTTCGGTTTCAGAAAATCTGCTTTTACTTGTATTGGAGATCCGATTAATGATTTACTTGTGGACTTTTTGTCATAGCTTCACGTAATAAAGTTCTCCAAATGTCGTATGAAAAAGTAACTGGTATGATTCTTGCCCTATTTATTATTGAGTGGATTATTCATTCATTATTCAGTCAATGTAACTCTCTGTGTGTTTAGCAACTGAAAAATCAGCAATATTGGTTTAAATAATAGTCATTTATTAAATCTTTAGCTCTGAAATAATTTGTTTAGATAATTAGTGACAAATATGACGTGTTCTTGGCTAAATCAGACTGCCTAACTCCGGATTTTTTCAAAATGAGCGAGATTTCTCCTTATTAGGTCACAATCTTTGACTAATATCGACCACCTCTTGGTTTTCACATGGATTTCACGTCTCGTGTAAAGTTTCCTTCTAAAAATGAGCAGCACTTCGTCGAGTAGTGTTTTTCAACCTATATTTCTATTTGGATCTGCTAATTTTGGTTCGTATAGCTACATAAAATATAATTTTTCTCTGGCAATTATCTATTGTTGATCTGTCATAATGACCAACCTCACAAGACTCCGTGACCTAAGCATCCCTATGTGCATTTGAATAAATCGTGTTTCAGCTGTAAACTGCTTCACCAAAAAGATTAGTTTTTGTGTATCTGTTAGACGTAAATAAAGTTCGTTACAAAACTAGTTAGGTTATTTTACTCTTTTGGTGAAACAGTGAAAAATACTTTATTTATTAACGGAGACCTGTCTTAGTGAAGGGTAATAACCATTTTATAGCACTGGTGTAATAACGACTAGAAGCTCATAGGCTGATCCAGTATGATGAGTAAAGCTCTTGCAAAATTAGTATAGGTTCTGTTTACCCGGTAGAAATATTACATAATGTCGTTCAAATTTGTTCTCGATTTATTAACATCTGTTTTTTCTCCCTTTGGTTCTCCTTTCTGACATATTTTTCTTGAAAGTAAGTCTTCGTTTACTAATAGTTGTCGGATCGATGGTGAATTCTTTATTATTTTTTGTTTAAGTGACTTATATCGTTATTATTTTAAGTGTTTCAACAAAGCTTATTTCTGATGTCGAATATATGTAACATTAATTTATAGATTTAGTTACGAGACTAAAAGTAGTTTGTATTATAATCTGACAACAGTAGTTGCTGAGTAGTGCTTGTATACTCCTTCAAGAATATGCACTCCAGGACTTGTGTACTTGTCATTAAGTATATGGCGTTTAAGCCACTAATTTGAAATATAGTGGTTTACACTTTTGCACTTCAGTTGATTCGAGTTAGAATAATTGTTCGACTGGATAAGTTTCCTATATTTAAGAACCACCTTTCAAGTGAACTTGTATATGGTTTTAGTTTATCATCTTAGCTACGTACTTCAGAAATGCGAATGATCTAAAGATAATCTTGATTAGGAATTGTGACTTAGTAGTTATTTTTTATTAGGTTTTAAACTAAATCTGTTTTACTCTAGCTGCAAATACTACTGACGGTAACTATAATTGGACTTTTACTATAAACTGAAATAAGTCATATTTAATGAACAGATAACACTGATATTTCCATATTGCTTTTAAACGTGTAGTTCCCCTGTGGTTATTTTATTACTGGTCGCTTCCGATCACTCATCTGTTCACCCTTAAATGCCTTGGTACGGTCGAGGATGGGAAGATTTCCCTCTACCTCTCATAGCCACGCGTAAACATCCACTGACAGGAAAGTCCTACTCAGTGCTTTCTCTCACAACGGGTGTTGTTTACGAAATGAAGAGGACAAAAAGCGAATGTCCGATGCTTTAACCGGTTTGGTGGACCCTCCGTGTCCACCTAGGGGAGTTGGAATACTCCTACTCCAGACCAATTGTGCACATGTGGTCCAGTATCCTGAAGGAACAAATGACATATAAACCTATTGTTGGTCATCGGCTACCATGGTACTGCATCTCCTAACGTTGCTCCACTGCCTTGTGGATCAGACCTTGAGATAGAAGGCTCCAGATGTATCTCCCTAAGAAAATCACCTGCTTCGGTTTGAGCACCTGGGCATTATTCCAGCCCTCACACAAATCGAGTGATTTATGTGGCGCATATGTATTTGGTGCCTCCTTGTACCAATGTTTATGTGCTTAAATAAATAAATTCCTACATCCTCCTACTCCTGAATCCAACGGTCTAGTTATACTTTTTGTTTCGGAGTTTCTTTTGAACTTGACTTCCGTTGCTTACAAGTATTGCATTACTTTAGTCATCTCTAGTACCACTTTGCGATAACTATAGTCTTACAAGTGAAAATATGCAGTGTTATGTTGCTAAATCGTTTGATGACTTCTTTTAGTGAATTATTCCCGGTCTTTTTCAGGTCTGCGTTTGTCTGTGGCAGTTCTCACTGTCAGCGACACATGCTCCAAGGATATTTTACTCGATCAAAGTGGTCCAGTTGCTGAAAGTTTACTCCAGGAGGCAGGATTTAACGTCCCGTTAAAAGATTGTGTCCCGGATGACCCACATATTATTCGTCGCGTAATTATGAAATGGGTAGCTTCTCGTCAAGTAGAAGCCGTACTTACGCTAGGGGGTACAGGTCTGTCTAGAAGGGATGTTACTTCGGATATAATTATTGAGTTAGTTTCCCCAAATCAACGTCTACATGGTATTGAGCACTCTCTTTATTCTATTTCACTTCAAAATACCCCGATGGGTGCTTTATCACGATTTGTAGCTGGAGTATGTAATGAAACTCTACTAATAACCTTACCAGGTAGTACACACGCAGTTTCTCAGTGTGTCCCAGTTATTCTTCCAGTAATGAAACATGCTATCCAGCAAATCAAAGGTTGGGATCATCTTGTAAAATTAGAACATCCCATTCAGTATAATCTGGATAAAAGTATATTAGAACGCGAATATCCTGTCGTTAGTCGTTGTAGACATTCTAAATATCCAATGATATCAGTTGATGAAGCACTTGAGAAGATATTCGCTGTGTGCAGTTTTGAGATGGGGATTGAAGCAGTGTTTTATAAAAATGCTTTAGGTCGTGTTCTTGGTCGAAGTTTAAAGTCACGTCAGTGCATTCCTCCTGTTGATGCGAGCATGATGGACGGATATGCTGTTCGATTTATGGATGGTGCTAGTCAACTAAAAGTTGTTGGTGCGTTGTATGGTGGGGATCATATGTGTGCAGGTAGAGAGTTAGTTGTTACTCCAGGCACATGTGTTCGTGTTAGCACTGGCAGCCCTATTCCCTCTGGAGCTGATTGCGTTGTTCCAATAGAGAACACCAAACTTATCTCTAAACGAAAAGGTGGACCTGTAGATCTTTATTTAGAAGAAGAAGACACGATTGAAGTGACTATTCCACCTGGAGGTATTGGGCAGTTCATTCGTCCAGCTGGTGTCGATTTAGACAAGAACTTTGTTTTTAGGCGAGGACTACGCCTTGGTTCAACGGAATTAGGGTTGATTTCCGGTGCAGGTTTGCTAACACCTTGGCCATCTAATCATGCAGATTATGTCAAGGCAAATGAAGGTCCAATTCCCCACGCGGTTTTAGATCGTCTTTTGCAAGGCGGATACCTACCCTGTCTAGAGCAATGTCGCATTGGTGTCTTATCGACTGGAAATGAGGTTTTAGATTGTGTTGTTTCTGAAACAAAGCCTTTTGTGAGAGACAGTAACCGCCCTGTTTTAATCAACCTGCTGCACAAACATAATTATTTTAATGTTGTAGATTGTGGGATTTTAACCGATGATCGAAAATCCTTAAGAATGGGCTTGTCCAGGGCTTTAACCTTGTGTGATATTCTTATCACAACAGGCGGCGTAAGCATGGGTGAACGTGATATGGTTAGTAAGATACTAATCGAAGATTTTAATGCAACTCTCCACTTCGCTCGAGTGTTTATGAAACCAGGGAAACCAACAACATTCTTATCTGTACCTCATCATGATAATTCAGCCATTGCCGCTTCTACTACCACTAAACCAAAGCCTGTGTTAGCATTTTGCCTACCAGGTAATCCTGTGTCATGTTATGTAACAGCGCATCTATTTGTTTTGCCCTTATTAAGGAAGTTGGACTTACGACCTCTTGAAGAATGGTGCTTTCCAAGTATTCATGTACGGTTGTTACATTCTGTTAAACTGAGTGATCGTCCAGATTACAGACGTGCCAGATTAGTTTGGAAAGAGAATTCAGAATATAACCAACCTTCGGTACCTTGTGCATCTTGTGATATGATGGAGAATCAAATGAGTTCTTGCTTAGCTAGTTGTCTTAATTCTAATTTGTTACTGGTACTACCTCCCATTGTTAATGACGGACCACAGGAAATTCCTGTTGATTCTGTTGTTAATGCTTTAGTTATTGATTCGATATTTTAAAGTTGAACGCTTCATATTGAATAGACCTATCACTTAATTAAATTATAATCTGACTACTGTTGTTTATTTTCGTGATTAAGAATAAAATATTTATTGAGCATGTGAGGGCTTTTATTTGCAATTTTGCGTTATGTTGACTCGGGTACTCATCAAAACCTGGGAGCACTGGACGGCCGTTTCGTCCTAGTATGGGATTCTTCGGCAGTGCACATCCACGATCCCCTTTCCATGTTTTCCATGGTGGTCTAGCTTCAATTGACTCATGAATTCAACTATTAAATTACTATAATATCCACAAAACCCCTCTGGACTTCGTGTTTGTTGAAATAGATCTAAAGAAAAGGATTCTCTGCTTTTTGTTTAGACAAGTCAAAACATGAGTTTATAAAGCTATTCAATTACATTCTGGAATGCATATCCATTTGAGGTGGTTGGTTTTCATATGAAAATGGGTAACAGAAATTTATTTTCCGAAAGATTAAGCAGCGTGACCATTTCAGCGTACTCCACTTACCTTTAAATTAGTATATTCTCGTACTTATCAACCCGAGTAATTAATTTTCTTATCTTCTAATACTAAGTAATGGTTTAGCAATGTTGAATAAGTAAAAGTGAGACTATTAACCACCACGAGCATTTTATTGAAATATTTTCATTAATTAAGTAGTGTAGCTAATTTTCCACACCTCTCAGGAGAAATTTATACGAAGCAATGGTCAATCATATATAAATTGGTTGACAGTTAAATGCTTTAATCATCATTCCACATTAAAACTTAGTGACTGTACGAGTTTACATGTTAGGTTATGCGACAACCGTTGCAATTGTACTACCGTTTCTCTGTTAGGTGGTTATTCGACGCGATTACTATGAGCCTAATATCATAATTCTAAATTTCTCTTTCAAGCTGTATATTATAGACCCGACTAAAAAAAGGAATTATCGTCATGGTACATAGTCGTCAGGATGGTTTTTAAGTGGTTTCACAAAATTCTACTTAATCGGCCTTGTCTGACTCCGGTCGTCACTTGGAATACGTCTGCCAACTTTCCTTTACGCACGACTTCGCAGTTTGGTCTTTCGTATGGATTCCGGATGATTTTGACGGTTTTTCCAGTTACGCCATAAAGTCGAAATAGGTTCCATAATATTCTCCTATCCACACCGTCAAACGCTTTGTCATAATCAATGAATTTGATGTATAGTGACGAATTCCATTCAATGGATTGTTGAACGATGGTTAGTAGTGTTGCGATTTGGTTCGTGGACGACCGATCCTTACGGAATCCGACCTGTTGATCTCGGAGCTAAGTGTCCACTGAATCATTCATCTGGTTCAGCAACACTGTTGGAAACGTTTGCTGACACGAATGGTAGTAGGATGCCTCTATAGTTCTCACATTTACTGAGATTTCCTTTCTTTGGTATATTGATGAGGTATTCTTCTTTCCATTCTATCAGCATTTGTTACTCCTCCTAAATCTTTCAGAATAGGATGTGAAGCATGTTTTCAGTTACTTCAATATCTGACTTCAGTGCTACAGCCGATATGTTGTCAGGTTCTACTGCTTTCCCACAGTTGATCTGTCTGCCATCCTGATTTTTTCTATTGTTGATGGAGTGGCAACCATAGGAATGTGCGTGTGTGGTTCTTCGATGTCTGGTGGGTTCAGCGGGACTGGTCTATTCAAGGGTTCTTTAGAGCGCTCTCAGGTTTCCCTTCACTTGCAACTCTCTCCACTCTCGTCGCTAGATGTTCCACATACTTCCGTTTATCAGTTCTGATGCTGCTCTTCACTCGCTTGTTTGCCTGTGAATTTGACCGTCTCTACTATTGTTTGGTTGTTGTCGACTAGTGTCTTCCTGTTCTTACTTTCTTGAATCGTGCGTAGGATATCAACAGAAATCCACCCTTTATGACGGTGCTTCTTGCGACGTAGCACCTCCTGGTATATTCAAGTTACTACTTTTTTTATCCATTTCCATTTGTTTCCATATTAGTTTACTCTTTTAGTGGGACTTATTGGTAGGATTTATGTTGACTTCATATGTCAGTATCTCAAAGAAAGACTGTATTGATCTTTTGTGATACTGTTTATCCAGTGTTTCTTTAGCTTTAGTTTAATCTTTGCAGCTATCAGGTAGTAATCCGAAGCTACATCAGCTCCTCTCTTTTTTTTCTTACGACAATGGTAACATATAACTATTTTGTCGAAAGCCCACAAATTTGTAAATCTCAGTTCTCGTCCCTTTCTCCCATTCCTTGTTATCCCTCGATATCGTCATACTCTGTATTGTCCATATTGACCTTGGCGTTTAGGTCTTTTATCAGGACAGTTCGGTCCTTTTCTGGGTATTTCTCTACAATGGACTACAACTTCTTACAAAACTAATATTCACCGTTCCCCCTGATATCAATGGTGGGCGCATGGTTGTGGATGACATTGCTATCCATGTTTTCTTTGCTTACAAAGGTGCTTTGATAATCCTGGATTTATGAGATTCCCACCTTATAAATGCTTTCTGCACATCTTTGGATAGCATCAGTGCAACTCCTTGTGTGTGCGAGACATTTTATTCTTCATGACCAGAATACAGTAGCACTTCTCTCGAGTTTTGATGTGGGCAAGGTATTGGTACTAAGTTAAATCCTATAAAAGACAAAAGAAACCCGTCTCTATCAAAACGGAACGTAATCACTATTCATGAAGGTTATTTATTTATTTATTTTAACACATAGATATTGGTACAAGGAGGCACCAAATACATATGCGCCACACAAATCTCATTCGATATGTGTGAGGGCTGTGATACTGCCCTGGTGCCCAAACCGAAGCAGGTGGTTTTCTTATGGGGCCACTCCCCGAGCCTTCAACCTGAAGGTCTGATCCACAAGGCAGTGGAGCATCGTAAGGAGATGCAGTCCCATGGAAGCCGGTGACCAACAATTGGTTCATACGCCATTTGTTCCTGCAGGATACTGGAGCCCATGTGCACCATTGGTTTGGAATCCGGTTAAGTCGCCGGTCATTCACTTTTCGTCCTCTCATTTTTGTAAACAACACCCCCGGTGAGATAAGGCAGTGAGTAGGACTTCCATGGCAGAGGCTATAAACGCGTGGCCATGTGAGAGCATTTCGAGAGGGAGAGCGGACTCTCCCTACTCGGCCGTATCAGGACATTTGGGTACCGTTTTTCCGATATTGTACTCGTTTGCAGAAAACCTGCAGGGTGAAATTTTATAACTGGTGAGACAGTTTCTGTTAAAGTATCCAAAATATCATGATACTTTGCGACTACTATTATTTCTTGCCATTGTGAAAATAGCAAATTGGTATTATGTTTCTTCATAAATGTTTTGATCGATTGATAAAAGTCTTTGTCGTTTACGTTGTTAAACAATTGTGCTGACACCTTGACTCTAAACTAAATCGACTTTAAATTAATCTAGCAAGGAATATACTACTGGGAACGATTTCGCATATAACTACTTTATCAACAGTTGAGACAACGGATTTCGACTAAATACATTCGGAATTATTCTATAGTGCATACCAACATCGTTCTAATTTTCAACAGACAAGATGAAGGGAGAGGTGTCAGATCCTAAAATTTATTAACCTTAGATCAATATTTTAATTTGGGCAATCGTTTATGTTCAGAAAATTATAATCTACTGACTTATTTGGTATTTAATAATTCCATTCAGTTTCTAAAGATTGCCTCTTAACTGGTTCATCTTGAAATTGCATTGTTCTTTCAGTTGAATGGCTTGCTTCTTAACTGTGATTCCTAAAACAACTGAAGTGAGATCATGGAAATTTCAGGGTAAATAAACCGTACACCCTTTTAAAATACTTTCTCGACACACTTGTCCTATGTCTGTTTCAAGCATCAGGTTTTTCAAATGCCTCATCGTTTCACATCTTGCTAGATTCATGTCAAGAAACGATTTGACCAAATTTAATTCGTCGGCAGTTACCGGGAAGGTCACTCACGGATTCTAAAATACAAGGGACCGCATATATTTGATCTCACCGATACAGGAGGTTGAAAGTAGTTTTGGCTTTGAATTTTCCTATCACCATTATTTAAGTCTACTTAATTCAAATGATGAAATTTCACATTAATTATCATAATCATTCTAACTGATATGTTTGCTTTAAAATGGAAAGAATGTTATTTCAGTTTAACAATCAGATTAGAGTTTAGATAAAAAAAGGATGGATATTTCCGTTCCCAATATTCTTTTTAATTTAAGTGACGAATATTTTGATGCTATTTGGGAACCATTATTAATGCCATTTGATTATGAATTATCACTGAATTCTCATTAAATATTGACTTTCAAGTAGCGAATCAACTATTATTACTCTCAGTCGTCCTATCATTATTATGATCTTTTTCGAAATCTTCAAAATCCATCGAATGGTTCTTGAATTCGTACTGTTGAAGATCATAAGTGTGGATTAGCATTTTTCATGCCGTGAATTTTCAAAATAGTTTTCATTCGAAATGATTATTCTTTTCCTTATTTGAACACATAAATATTGTTACAAAGGGGCATTAAATACATATACGCCACACAAGTCACTTGATTGGTGTGAGGGATAGGGTACTCCCCATGTGCTCAAACCAAAGCAGGTGATTTTCTTAGGTCACACCCAGAGCCTTCGACCTATAGGTCTGATCCACAAGGCAGTGGAGAAACGTTAGGAGATCCAGTACCATGATAGCCGATGACCAACAATAAGTTTATATGCCATTTGTTCCTTCAGGATCCTGGACCACATGTACACGATTGGTTTGGAATAAGGGTTTTCCGACTCCCCTAGGTGGACCCTCCGTGTCCACCAACCCGGTTAGAGCGTTGGACATTCGCTTTTTGTCCTCTTCATTTCGTAAAAAACACCTGTGGTGCGAGCAGTCAGTGAGTATGACTTTTCTGTCAGTGGATGTATACGCGTGGCCATTTGAGACCATCATAAGTCATTTACTTCCACTTACAAATTGATCTAAAAATCATATCAGTACTTCACTTTCTTTTGGTCGCATTCCAACGATCGAATTGTTCCATGGAATTGTCTTTGTCTAAATAATCTGAACGGATATATAAGACCACAAAATATTTTGAATTCGACGATTTTTTTCACTTTATCATTTCTCACTCATCACTTTGATTAATAGTAAAAATATTCGACAGTAATATCTAAGTTTAGGTTTCCTTCTAAAAACTTCATCATACGGATACCTAAAATAAAAATTTTTTCTTTCTCATATTTCAGAAAACACAGTATGATATGAGGCCAAAACTTCCAAAAACTATTTCAGCATGGCAGCTGATGAGCTTTTTACCACCTGGTGCAGCAGACATCACATCTGAATTACACTTCACAAGGACTAGACGTATGCCCAATATAACTCGTCCAGACCAATTACTTATTAAGGTTAAAGCGGCATCGTTAAATCCTGTCGATTCTTTGCTTGTCTATGGTTATGGTTCTTCTAGCTTTAATTTATTACGTCGCTTTACATCAAACTATGGTTGCTTTGGTCTACCTGATGCCACAACAGCAGAAAATGCTGACTTTCCTTTTACACCTGGTCGTGATTTTTCTGGTCAAATAGTTGACATCGGTTCAGAAGTTGCTTTATCCAACCTAAACAGGCAAAATAAATTTATTATTGGTACAAATGTGGCTGGTGCTACATGGCCTTTTCTCAGTACTACTGGATCTGGTTCACTAGCTGAATATATTGTCTGTCCAGCTGATTATGTCGCTCCATTACCTAGTAATGTTTCTTTCATATCTGCAGCTGCATTAGGATATGCTGGTTTAACTGCATGGTCAGCTTTAGTTGATGCTGGTGGAATCGACCCTGCTAGTAAGTCATCACCATCAGCTTGTTCAATTCTTATAACTGGCGCCACTGGTGGTGTTGGCTTTATTGCAGCACAATTGGCTAAACTTTGGGGTTGGAAAGTTCATGTCACATGCCCAAGTGATAAAAAGGCATTAGATTTAATGAATGTTTTACAAGTTGATAAAGTAAGTAGTAAATAATTTGTATTCTTATCATGTTTTAAATAGTCGAATTTTGAGTTTCATATATCAATAATCAATATAACTTATGGTTCAACGCAGTTCACATTAACCTGCAAATTTCATTAAACGGACGAAACTAAAATTAAACACGAGATAATCGTTTCTTACAATCCAAATGTACTTTCAAGTTTCCTTCAATCTAACCCATTAAATTTGAGTGTTGATAAAAATATGACTATCCATACTAAGTTTAACTGGATACTTCACTGAGAAGCCCGACCGAATTTAATTAAAGTAACTGTCCGATGTTTAAGTGAATTCTGATCAGTTTAATAAAACTAGCATGAAGCATATCATACTACTGGTCTCGTAGTTTGGTTGTAAGCATTGCGTTCTTTCGTGTCAGTAATCACATTTCTCAAACTTTAACATTACATATGTATAGTTGATGTCAGATTTTCAAATGTCACGGTACGGTCGAGGTTGGAGAGAGTTCGTTTTCCCCTTCGAAATGCTCTCAAATGGCCACGCGTATACATCCACTGACAGAAAAGTCATACTCACTGACTGCTCGCACCACAGGTGTTTTTTACGAAATGAAGAGGACAAAAAGCGAATGTCCAACGCTCTAACCGGGTTGGTGGACACGGAGGGTCCACCTAGGGGAGTCGGAAAACCCTTATTCCAAACCAATCGTGTACATGTGGTCCAGGATCCTGAAGGAACAAATGGCATATAAACTTATTGTTGATCATCGGCTATCATGGTACTGGATCTCCTAACGTTTCTCCACTGCCTTGTGGATCAGACCTATAGGTCGAAGGCTCTGGGTGTGACCTAAGAAAATCACCTGCTTCGGTCTGGGCACCCTGGTAGTATCACATCCCACACACAAATAAAATGAAATGGCAATAATTACTGGAAATACTGTTCTTGCTCCAAATAATATTCAGACAACTCACATTCATTTGATAACATACATTTTTATTTTTTCATATACTACGTCACTTTATATACTCAGTTTTATTCCCACTTTGTGTATCCTTATTTTCCAACTTATACAGCCACTCGCTATAGTGAAAACCCTGTCCTATCTGAACGACCTCAAGTCACTGACTGGTCGAAAGCTGAATACTACCACCGAATACAAATATTGAAACAGACTTTCTGTGATCAACTATACCACTCATACTGGCTTCCTTCAACGATCGCACACTAATGCAGATCGAACAACAGATAGTGTTGATTATATCTTCAGAGAGCCTTAATATTGACGTCTGTTGACTATCCGAGTCCCTTATTCAATGCTCTAGTGAAGTACTATAAATTCGCTCTCCATCTGTCGCTTCAAAAAGCTTGTTTTACGTGCGTTTATCCAGGGACCCTGTGGCATCTTCGTGAATTCGATGAATTCTACCATCAGTTAACTGTTTTTCTCCAGGAAGTGCGTTCGACAGATATTGTAGTACTAGCCGGAGACTTGAATGCTCAGGTCGGGCGTCTAGGCACAGAAGAGAGTCGTTTAGGTGGCCGATGGGGACTCGTTTGTCGCAGGTCAGATAACGGGGACCGTCTACTGCAACTGTGCACAGACCACAACCTGTTTCTGGCTAGCACTAACTTTCGGCACAGTCATCGCCGATGTGCCACCTGGCGTCCTCCCTCTGCATCTCAAGCCTGGACTCAGATTGATCACATCGCGATCAGCTACCGCTGGCGTGGTTGTGTACAAGACTGCCGCTCCTTTTGGAGTGCCCATCTGGACTCTGATCATGCCCTAGTCTGCGCCAATCTTACCTTACTTTTCAGTGGACAACGAAGTGACCGCCACCAAAGGATTGATGTTAGCAAGCTGTTTGCAACTTCTGTTACAACTAAGTACCCAACCTAGCTAGCTACCATTCCACCGAAAAGTATAGATGAGCATTGGTTGCAGGTTCATGACGCCATGAAAATGGCGAGTCAAGCCTCTTGCGGCTTCGCCCGTCGGTTTACTCCGGGTGACCGTGAGTTTGACCGTAAACGAAGGATGTTACGTAAGGAAATTGGGCAAAGCTTGCGTAAGGACCGAGAAGCCTGGTGGTCGGAACGTGGTAATGAGCTGGCAGCAGCAGCTGCATCTGGTAACTACCGGAAGCTCTTCCAACTCATCCGAGCCACTGGCAGCAAGAAGTCTGATGTGAGCGGACCAATCTGCGATGATGACGGAATGCCAGTCACTAACATCCATCGGCGTCTTGGACGATGGGCAGAATTTTTCGAAGGGCAGTTCAACTGGCCTGCTGCTCCGGCAACATCGGTCAGACTATCCTGCCCATCATCGCCGGTGACGACTGATCCACCAAATGAAGCGTAAGTCCGCGAGGAACTCCAACTCTTGAAGCGTTACAAACCACCGGGCTCAAATGACTTACCTACGGCTCTTTTTAAAGATGGTGGTGACTTTCTGACTAAGGAACTGACTGTTGTTCACAAAGATCTGGGAGCTAGAGAGTGTACCAACGTCATGGAATGAGTCGATAGTTGTCCCTATCTTTAAAAAGGGTTCACGTTGTTCTTGTAACAACTATCGGGAGATAAGTCTACTTCCGATTGCGTCCAAGCTGTTGGCTTCCGTCATACTTCGTGGATTGTCCATAACTCGAGAAAGATTGACTCGCGAGGAGCAGGCCGGGTTTCGTTCTGGTCGAGGATATATTGATCATATCTTCACCCTCCGCCAAATGTTAGAACACCGCCATACTTATCAAAGGCCAACAATCGTAGTGTTTCTTGACATCAGGGCTGCCTTCGATTCGTTGGATAGGACTGTTCTCTGGAATTGTCTATTGAAGAAGGGTGTGCCTGAGAAGTTTATTAACATCCTAAAGAACCTATATACAAACACCTCGGGTAAAGTGAGGGCATGCAACCACCTCTCTCCATTGTTCCATTCGAGCAGTGGGGTTAGGCAGGGTTGCCCAATCTCACCATTCCTCTTCAACTTTGCCATCGATGACATTCTGGAAACAGCTCTGATGGATGTAAGTAATGGTGGTGTGGATCTGTCGCCTGGAGAAAGACTTCTCGACCTTGAGTATGCGGATGATATTGTCTTATTGTGCGATAACCCCTAAGACATGCAATCCGCACTTAATCAGTTGGCAATCAGTGTCCGTAGGTATGGTATGTGCTTTGCACCTTCGAAGTGCAAAGTACTACTACAAGACTGGCAGGATTCCAATCATGTACTCACCCTGGATGGTGAGCAGATAGAAGTAGTCGAGAAGTTCGTGTAACTAGTTAGCTGCATAAGTGCTGGTGGGGGTGTGAGTGATAAGATCAGTGCACGTATAGTGAAAGCCAGAGCGGCTTATGCCAATCTGGGCCACCTTTGGCGCCTTCGTGATGTTAGTCTGGCTGTAAAAGGTCGGATCTACAACGCGTCGGTGAGAGCAGTTTTGCTCTATGCTTGTGAAACCTGGCCTCTCCGAGTTGAGGACGTTAGACGACTCTCTGTGTTTGATCATCGTTGTCTCCGGAGGATTGCTGACATCCAGTGGCAACACCATGTTAGTAATGCGGAGGTTCGGCATCGTGTGTTCGGGTGCACAGACGATAATGCAATTGGTGTCACCATCTTGAAATACCGACTTCGGTGGCTTGGACATGTTCTCCGAATGTCGTCCCAGAGAATTCCACGTCGTGCATTATTTGCCGACTCTGGGACTGGTTGGAAAAAGCGAGGTGGAGAGGTGGTCAGTGCATGACACGGTGTCGTGGTATGAAAGAAAGCTGCAAAGGACTGGTTTCTATTGTTCCTTCAGTACTCCGTGGTTGATGTCCTAGAGATAGCGCAACAGTGACTACAGATGTTCGGAATAGAAGCTAGTGGCGATCTTTCTGTAACTTTCTTCATAAAAGTGAACGTAACTTCTTTAATTGAAAGAATTATTTATGATTGTATATTTCATGGCTGAACTATTTCTCCCATTGTTATTATTATTTCTGGACGATAGCAATAAACACCAGATAATTTAAATTTCTATGAAATGAACATGTAACTTATTCTTCTTGACTAGAAATAATGGTTGCAGTTAGATATTTGAATTGATTCAAATAACTAGATTGGATTGAATAAATTTACTTCTAATATCATTATCGTATATACTTTAAATCTAATAGATTTCCCATTTTTATATTTAAGATATTTCCACATCCAACAAATATTCAAACAACAATGAAATATGATTTAATTCTTGATTGTATTCGACCGGATTATTTGAATACAACAACTTCATTCACCACATCATCATCGTCGAATACACAATTGAAACAATGTCATTTAATTGATCATTTATTACCTCAACTACCATCTATGTTAACTTATTTAAATACATCATCAAATCGTACACGTTATATTATGCTTAATCCACCATTATTATATTTAAATGATTATTATGGACCATTTATTGGTAGTGGAATAGCATATTCACAATTATTGTATAGTAATATTGCTGCATTATTCTCTAATAATAATGTTTATAATACTAATTTAAATAAAATACGTTGGGTATTTTTTAAACCAAATAATAAAGTATTAAATTATCTTTTAAATTTACTTTCAAATAAACAATTAATAATACCAGTGGATACTGTTTATCAATTTAATCATGTACCAGATGCATTTCATCGACTGTATACTAAAGGAAAACGTGGTAAACTTGTAATTGAAGTGAATAATTAATAAATAGTCTTTTTTTTTACAATAATTTAACTTTTTATTTTGGAATAAAAGGCCTAGGATAAGAGTGGGTTGGAGAATGCTGGTCGGCGGCCTATGCTCCATTAGGAGTAACAGGCGTAGGTAAGTAAGTAAATAATAGTTTAACCTGAAACATATTGGAAATTTAAGATATAATACTAATAGTTACACGATCGTGCTTGAGACTGATAGTTTAGTGAACCAAAACATCACTGGGGATAATCGAATGTATTTGAGCAGAAAATTACAGAGCATCTTAAATAAAATCTGAGAACTATATAATAAGTCGTTAATTTCCAAAATATCAAACTTGACTGTTCCTGTTGCAAACATCAATCTGTTGTTTCATATTTCATTGTTCATGCGTTTTCATTACCAATTGTATTCCGTTCCCGTTCTTTCCTCATCGACCTTCTACTGAAATACATTCTATGACTGACCGTCGTTATATACTACTTGTGTGGATATAAGTAATCCACACCACAATATATCCTGGGTTCGAATCTCGCGGGATGGTGGATGCGCACTACTGAGAAGTCACACAATAGAACGATATGGCTGTCCAGTGCTTCCAGGTTTTCCATGGTGGTCTAGCTTCAATTGACTCATGATTTCAATTATTGAAATAAGCTATTGTGACGAGATTATAATTTATGGACGAGTCAATCAGAAGGGTTTGCGGGAGTTCAAGGTCACAACGCCCATTTCAGTTCCTAATGCTCATGTACGGTCAGTTTAGAGTGGATTTTATAGAAGACGTGATCATTGAGCGGCTATAATAAATGGGACTACTTAGAATTTTCTTGATTTGTGACTGTTGTACCGTGTACAGAATACCGTGATGAGATTGTCTTTCGATGTTATTCATGTTCGAGGAAGAACTTTGCTCGAACAGGAACTTTCTTCGCTCGATCCCAATTGAGACTAAGGAAAATCATGATGATTGTTGCAAATTGAATAATAAAATCTTCAGTAACACTGACTGCAACATTTGCAGATGTTATTGAAGCTTCAGCTGTTCAGTTGTATATATGTGCAATAAAAATGAAAAGTTTGGAGGAGTTCGCAGAATCGTTGGAACAGTAGTGAGGAGGCGAAGATTTAACAGAGGACGTAGTATTACGGAAGACTGGGTAAGTAGCACTTCCATAAATATACCTCACAAGTACTTGGAATTTACGACAGATCAACCCAAAAGGGACACTTCCAAAGGGTCAGAAACCGACAATAATACCAACTATACGGGAATACGTGCAGCCGGCTACTACAATACATTCGGATGATTGAAGAGCTTACCAATGCTTGCATAGACTTGGTTATATGCATTATGTCATTGTCCACAATCACCATTTTTTGGACTCTACAACAAGAGTGCACACTAACAATATTGAAGCTATGTTGTCGAGGCTAAAGTAGTTTCTACGACATATGGATGAGTTCCTCTACCTTATGCAATACGATTTCAGAACCTCTTTCAAACCTTGATAAGTCTTTGAATCGTGTAAAAGAAGTACATCCACTTTAATTCTTTGGTTTTTTATAATGTATCTCATTTCGTATCAACTGTCTTCTGATTGCCTAATGTTTTCCAAGGTCACTTAAGGTTGGCCATAAATTATAGCCTCGCCTATCACTTATTAGTTTGCAAATATCAGGTTGTAGTAATTACCCATTCTACATCAATCTGTTATTGTTTTATTAACAATAGTTACAATAAGAAATTCGTAACACAAAATGATGTAACAAACATTAACATGGTTGCTGTCCACTTAGTTGGAACTTTGATATCAGAATTGGCTTGCATAAAAACTGAACCGCGATATACATAACATATGATACATCAATATAATGTAAACTCAGATTAATAATACAACATTAACCAGGAATCTTTTGTTTCCCGTCCAATGTTATACTATTCGAATTACAAAATAAAGCGTCTAATCAACTTGCAAGTCTGATCTCAGTTACGGATTTCTCCTAAGTAATGGGGTGATAGGACAAATTCTTTTATCATACAATTGAACCGAACAGTAATTATTTTATATCATACGAAGACTTGAATTCAATGTGTAATGTACAATTTCTGATAGAATTCAACGAAGTATTTATTTCCCTGTCACTTAGTAAGTGATGAACACTGCTATCAATGATCCTTAAAACCTGTTCATAAAATAAATAATCAATAGAAGTTTACAAATTAATCTAAACACTAGTTCATTAAATTGCCTAATCCTATAGAACAGATGTTGAAACAAATATAGTAATTCAGTAATACTTCTGGATAGAATACAGATGGCATCAGACTCGAATGCGTTTCCCCCGACTGGCTAACTTTATAAATGTGTAGGAGTTAAAACGGCTTTGTAAAATGAAATGTCCCCTGAGTCATGCGTATTAAAACTTAGTTCATTCAATTCTTTATTTAGCTTGTCAATTTTTTTTATCAGTCAGTCATCAACAACGTAGAACTTCGTACGTATGTACATCAGTTCGAGTTGCCATACCACATTGTCAATTCAAATCCCATTGTGGTAGAGGTAGTAAGATTATAAGCAGTAATCGGGAAGATTAGGGTTTGGAGATGTTATTTAAGCAGTATAATCCAATGAAATAAGTTTGGAGAGTGGAAAAAAGGAGCATGAAGAATTCAGATTAGAATTTGGCAGAACACAAAAAGTGGATGCACCTGCACAATTGCAAAAGATTTTGAGCCATGTCATTTAAGGTCTCTAACCATCGGTTTCTACCGCCTAGCGAATCCCAACCAAGTAGTCTACACCTACCAACATGACTGTCCACTTGTCTGTGACTTCATGGATTTGTGCCATGTTTTGGTCTGGCCGCCCCTAGCATTCTTCCATCGTACTCCTACACCATGAAACATCGCATGCTGGGTCAGTCGGTCGTTGGGCATACGTAACACGTGTCCCAGTAATCTCAACTGATGAATTTTCACTACTTCATCAATTGATTTGCAATCCTTACCTAATACCCGTTTCCTAGCAACTACAGTACTTACTCGTTGGTCCCAGGATATACAAGCAATGCTTCAAAGACACCTATGATCGAATACTGGTAACCTACGAATATCTTCTAATCTTACCGGCCATGCTCACTGCCATAAAGTAGGACGGGACGAACTGCTGCGCAGTAAACCTGTCCTTTGGTTGGTAGACGGATATCTCGCCTACGCCATAAATGACGCAAGTTGGCAAAAGCTAGTCGAGCCCTCTGTATCCGTCCTGAGATTTTGTCACATACCAGACCACAAAGGCTGATGAGACTTCCAAGATAAGTGAAGCGGTCGACACACTCTACTTCACTCCCTATCATTAATTCAGGTGTCGATGCAACCCGATCCTGAAGCAACATTTTGCATTTCGAGGGGGAGAATCGCATCCCGAACATGCTTGCATTGTTGCTTATAGTGGTCAGAAAGGCTCTGCATTTTGTCAGCGTTTTCACCAAATAGAACTATGTCATCGGCTTATTCTAAATAATTAATTTCCAAATTAACTGATACTATGAAATGGTGGAGGGGTACCTAGCTTGTCGTATGCCCTGATGGTGTTCTTGTAACTTTGGGGTTGCCTGATCTGCCAAGGGCGATGGGACAGTACATGATACTATTGTTATGTACTAGGTTGAAAAAGAATTGTATGCTTTATGCATACAAATCCGCCCCATTATTGTTCCTTGAGATGGTGGAGATCCACGACCAAACAATCTAGCTCAGAGTACAAAACTCCATCAAAATAACTAATACTATTCATTTCATTGAATTTCTTTTGTTATGGGAATTGATTGAGAGATTAAACATACATATACATACAATAACAACATGGTAAACTAATTGTACCAGAAGAAATAGTCGGTAAAACTATTCACCCAAACAAAAAATGATTCGAAATACTCGGTCATTATATGATGTGAAGTACAGCTGATTATCATAGAAGTTGTTCATGACAATATTTTATACATTATTGACCATGTTATTTTAAGTCATATTTGTATTTAACCAGGTTTAATAAATACTTTCGGTTTACTGAATATTTCAATAGCTTGTTCTAATTCACTGAGACGACTTTCAATTTCTGCACGTCTAGAACGAATTCTCAATGTATCCATACGTACTGGGAGGTGAGAAAATTCCTCTGACAATTGAGTATGAGCTATAGAGAAAATCAAAGTGTAATTAATGTATCGTAAATAATTAAATTTTTAATTATTAATATCATGATGAGATGGTGGAGAAGATTTGTAGCTCAAGTGGATGATTTTGATGAATGTTGTGTTCACGACTAAATCATCCAGCTCAGAGAACAAAACTTCATCAAAATTGTTAATATCATTTATTTAGTTAAACACATAAACATTGGTACAAGGAGGCACCAAAAATATATGCGTCACATAAATCATTCGATTTGTTTGAGGGCTGAGATACTGCCCGGGTGCCCAAACTGAAGTAGGTGGTTTTTCTTAGGATGCCACACTCGAAGTCTTTGACATAAAAGGTCTGATTCACAAGACAGTGGAGCAACGTCATAAAATGCAGCCCCATGGTATCATTATTCAGTGTCGGAGAAAAAGTCAATTTTCATCTGAACATTAATTAGCCATTTTAAAATAACAACACGACTGGCTATTTCTCACATTTTACGGAATTAAGATCGAAAAATGTGGAAGAGGAGTTCTGTTTGGCAAAAGAGATTCATTTTAGCTGGTTCAACAACCTTGATAATGTTCAGAACCGTAAAAATAAATCTCAGAAATCTTAATTTTACAGAATTCAAGTTCCAACAACATTTTACGTGATAATTAAAATTATATTGTTGAATTTCACTATTTAAAGAGGATGTTACTATAAATTTCCTAAAATCTCCTGTTTAAAATTATTCTAGAATTATTTAAACATTATTTTAAAAATATTTAGATCAGCGAAACTTATCATCACTTCCACGTGAAGCCCCCAAATGCTCGGGTACGGCCGAGAGTGGAGTGAGTCAGCTCTCCCCTCGAAATGTTCTCACATGGTCACGTGCATACAACCACTTCCATAAAAGTCCTATCCACTGCCTTCTCGCAGCGTGGATGTTTTTTTACGAAATTGTGAGGACGAAAAGCGAATGTCCAGCGCTTTAACCAGGTTGGTGGGTATGTAGGATCCACCTACGGAAGTTGGAAAACCCTGATTCCAAACAAATGATACAAATGGACTACAGGATCCTGAAGGAACAAATGGCGTATGAATCAATCATTTGTCACCGGCTAACATGGGACTGCATCTCCTGACGTTGCTCCACTGTCTTGTGAATCAGACCTTTAGGTTGAAGGCTCCGGGTGTGTCCCCCTGAGGAAACCACCTGCTCCGGTTTGGGCACCCGGGAAGTATCTCAGCCCTCACACAAATCGAATGATTTATTTGGCGCATATCTATTTGGTGCCTCCTTGTGCCAAAGTTTATGTGTTTAAATAATAAAATAATAATAGTGTGAAGCAGGTAGTGATTTGATGTCTAGAATGGCAAAATAAAATCACCATTAAATCATCTATCTTAAGAAAACCTAACATTTTTAGTTTTAGAAACATATGTACCCTTAAGCACTACTGAGAAAGAGAATAAAAGGAAAGTTAGTATCTCTTCCCTTGTCATTTCATTCAACATAATTTGTAAAGTGATATAACGGATGGTTTGAAACATTTTTTTCTCTCAAGTACACTACGATAATACGTTAATACGATAATGAGACCAATCACGTTAGATTAGATCCAGGATTCGAAACCAAGAATAGAGAACTAAGTTATTCTAGAATTAGTTAAACATTATTAAAAAAATATTTAGATCAGCGAAATTTAACATCACTTCCACGTGAAGCCCCCAAATGCTCTGGTACTTTAGTCAATACAGTTATAAGCAATTAAACTCAGTGAATTTGAAGTAGAAATCAATGGGAGGAAAGGTAATTACGTATATAATAGTCAGTAGGCTAGGTGCCTGTTTGTCCACTACCGGTCTCTGGCTCGGATAAAGAAGAAGGGTTGGACATGGGGCCAGTATCCCAATCCCGTAGAAAAACAAGCTTGATAGAGAAAACGCTAAGCAGAATAACCAAATTAAACTCTAATCTGGAAGTTGAAGGATCTTCATTTACAAGAATTATGACACCTCATAGTAAAAGCCGATGACCCCTCTAACAACCAAAGCAACAATTATTATAGGTACATTGAATATCCGTACAATGTGGCATACCGGAAGGACTAATCAAATAGTCACGAATGGATTTCTATCGAAACCCTGGAAATGATTCTAAAAATGAAGAACAGGACAGCAATTAACAACAGCTAAATAAGCGAGTCAAGATCGGCATTAGAACTGATAAACGGAAGTATTTGGAACATCTAGCAAGGACATTGAAGAGAGTAGCAAGAGAAGGGAAATATGAAACAACTATATGACAATGAATAAACTAACAGGGATATTTAGTAAACCAGAACTAGCGGTCAAAAACAAACAAGGTAAACCAACCACTGAAACTGACGAACGGTGGAACAGGTGGGTAGAGCACTCTAAAGAACTAAAGTCAGGCATGGAAGTAACTGCAAACACGCTTCACAGTCTATTCTGAAAGATTTGGGAGGAGAAACAAATGCCGACAGAATGGAAAGAAGAATACCTCATCAAGATAACAAAGAAAGGAGATCTCAGTATGTGTGAGAACTACAGAGGCATCACACTACTGTCGGTAACAGGAAACATTTTCAACAGAGTTTTGCTGAACCAGATGCTCAGCTTCGAGATCAACAGGTTGGATCCCATAAGGATTGGTCGTCCACGAACCAAATCGCAACACTACTGATCATCTTTCAACAATCCATTGAATGGAATTTGTCAATATACATTAAATTCATTAACTATGAGAAAGCGTTTGACGGTGTGGATAGGAAAACATTATGGAACCTATTCTGACTTTATGGTGTAACCTTTTATCTCATCAACACCATCCGGAATTCATACGACGGACTACACTGCGAAGCCGTGCATGGAGGAAAGTTGACAGATGCATTCCAAGTTACGACCAAAGTCAGACGAGTCTGCTTACTTTCCGACTTATTCTTCCTACTGGTGTTTGACTGAATTATAAGGACTTCCACATCTGAGGGGAAGCACGGAGTACGGTAGAGAGTTTGAATGCAGCTAGACGATTTGGACTTCTCATATGACCTAACTCTTCTATAGAGAACAAACCACCTTCCGGATGAAGAGGAAATTAGGAAAAGAAGTTGGAAGTGGATAAGACATACATTGAGAAAATCATGAAATTGCATCACGAGGCAAGCGCCAACTTGAAATCCTGAAGGAAAAACAAAAATAGGAAGAACAAGGGACAGCTTGTATCGAGAATTGCAAGCAGATATGAATAGGATGAATAACGACTGGAAAAGATTTTGCAAGACAGATTTCGATGGACAATCTTGGTGGGCGGTTTATATTTCTCCTCGAGGGGTAACAGGAGTAAGCAAGTACGACATATCATATACTGTTTACATATTATTCTGAATAAGATATCTGATTTCATTTATATTTGGATTTAAATCACATCTATGAATTAATACCTTTGTTAAGCAATTCTAATGTATTTAGACGTTCTTCTTCTGGCATTCTCTGATGTCCTGGAGGTTGATCTGGATCAGGCTGGTTTTCCAATTCTTTTTGAATCCGTTCTTTTTCTTTTTGTTTCATTTTGATTAGGCTAGAGAGAAATGATGATACATTCATGTACACTTCTTGTTATTTTATTGTAGACAATCAGTTTATATATTAAACAGCTTTATTAGACTTTTACTCTTTTATCATGCATAAATAACTCAATATTTGACTAATTCAATGTTTTAATGAGATGTTTGTATAAATATGTTCAATTTGAATATTAGGTTTGTGTATTATAATGCGACGTCAAGAAGTTTTGATGGAAATTCATGACTCATAAAATTAACTAGATCGGCAGGGATCCGGGTACCAATGATGACAGTGAATAACTAGTGAGTTTCCAATATCTAAACAATAGCTTTACACTACAGTGAATGAACAGCAGTGTTTCGTGCGAAACTTGATGATCCTTGAGCTACATACAATAGAACGGCATATGTATTCGCTACGAAATTAAAATGAAATACCCATATATTTTTGCAGGCATTCTGTCATTTCTGATATTGTCTTGTCCTAAGTACCTTACCAACTTCAAACAATATCAAACATCAGAAAAGACAGTAACTGAGATGGTTATCACGTAGCCAAGTCAACCAGATGTATACAGATTCCTCATTTTACCAAGTGTCTTCTTCTCTTTGGCTCATCAAGTTATCTTGTTATGGACAAGACATGTTTTAAAAAGCAATCGAATAACTGAAATTCTCCTTAATCGTCTATCCACAATAGCGATGTCTTAAACTAGAGTAAACAAGTCCATTTATAACCATTCGGATCTCCTAATAGTGACAAGCTATGCGAGTTATCATATTAGAGATTACACAATTTTCCAATTATGGGATATTAAAAGCTCAATCAACTACCTCACTCACCATTCTCATAGTTGATTCATACGTATATACAGTACAATTTTATTGATTTTTATCACGTTTTACAGAAAAGAGTAATAGTTGACTATTCGAATTTATATAATTCAGTACAAACTGATGGTATTACTAAGCCGAATTATATTTAATTAATGCGGATAACTTTCTTAACATATTAGAAACCCTTATAGGATAAATTATTGTAATATTTTTTCCTAAATGAGATGAAAAAGCACCCACGACAATTAAGATTCCCTACCACCCATTTCTAAAAAATTTTATGGTTTGAAAGAAAAATTTAGCGATCGGTGATTGGTGTACTCGTTTTGCAAGTGTGTGCTCAAGTGATAATGAACAAACATTTTGTCACCTTTAATCATTTTCACAGATTGAAATCATGAGTCAGTTGAAGCTAGACCACCATTGAAAACCTGGAAGCATCCACGAACCCGCACCGTGGATGCGCACTGCTGAGGAGTCCCATACCAGGACGAAACGGCCGTCCAGTGCTTCCAGGTTTTCAATGGTGGTCTAGCTTCAACTGACTCATGATTTCAATCTGTGAAAATTTCTAAAAATCTCCACAAAACACATTCTGATAATTTAATCATTTTGTAATTGGTCGTAAACTGTTCATCTTTGTGATCTGATTAGTTGAAATCGAAATCGCATCAAGTGCTGTGATTGGATGTCTGAATTTTCATTTTTTACATTTGAAATTTAACGATAGTGAATAAATCTTTTTGTGTAATCTTATTCTTGTAAGAAATTTAGACATTTTAAGAAAAAACACACCAACTGAAGTGCAATCCTACTGTTACTGAATGCGTATTGGGATAAATTTTTGATTTCCGATCAAGTGATTTAATGTCACGAGTACTTATATATATCACATAAAAAGAAAGTTGAGTGAAAAAGGGAAATGAAAATCGATTTGAATATTTGATAATAGTGATTACTGAATTCGGTCGGTAATCAAATGCTGAATACGTAATTAATAAACAAATTATTACCGAAGTGTGTACATAAGTTTTTTTAGTAACACATGGTCTGTTAATCGGAGAAACAAATGAACATATCAATAATCCATCATGATAACTTACTGGTTGCAATATGTGTAATTCAGGTGAAGCAACCCGTAGACCATCATTTAATGAACTGACTTTGACAGTATATGAATGTAGTAATAAATTTAACCGAAATAGACACTTAATATTTAGTGGACGTTTATTTTGTAAATGTTCATGCTTAATGAGAATTAGACAACGTTAGATTTCAATGCGGTTAATTTTAAAAGTCCATTGAAACACGGTTCATTATTTTCACTTGTAAATTATTTGTAGTTCTATATTTTAAAATTAATTTTTTGGTCGTAATAAAAACTAATGTGTGTTTAATCAGTCATGTGTGAATATTGTTAACCACCGTAATATGAAACCTGAACTAGATCTAGACATTATGAATGTCTACATTTTTGACAAGCATTTAAAATATCCGTTTCATGAAGTGTAAATGAACAAGCCTACGTCGTCTGACTGACTCAACAAATATCTATCGACTTTAAACGTATAAATATGAATAAGGTCAACTGTATTTATTATTTATTTTCCTTATGATCATTATTATTATTATTATTATTATTATTATCATTATTATTATTATTATTATTATTATTATTATTATTATTATTATTATTATTATTATTATTATTATTATTATGTCAATTGACAAGATTCAATTCTCAGACTATGCATTTCATTGACACAAAATTTTTTGCAATTTCAATTTCCCTATAATGCTTAGTCACTTATTATAACTGAACACTTTACTGCAAATCATCCCGACATTTATTGAATGACCTTTTTAATTTGTAAACATATATATCGTTACAGATGTAAACGTTCACCATTGTTAACACATTACATTGTCAAATTCATTAATGCCATGCCATATTTTTGGCCTTTATAAAAAATGGAAATTATGGACTTATAACTGTTTAGTGTGATTGTACCAGTACAAATGAATACGGTGATATAATCAGTAGTTATGAATAACAATGAAGGCTTAGTTGACGATCATACGAACATCTTACGTACGCATAGTTCTGGTTTCAGGTACCTTTAATATAAAAACGGAATATGAAATTCTTGCATTTTGTATTCATGAAACAGCTAATAGTCTTATTTCTTTTTACACTTACTATACGACCTTTTATCACATTAATGATTTCAATGATGACGGTTTCAACTTGTTTTCTAATGTCATTATTTTATTCCTAAATAAGTTAATTTCCTTCATTGTGTTTACTTCTCTATGAGCTTTAATCACATTCTTCTTTGTAATGATAATCACTAATAAATGTCAACATAAATTTATTGACCTAACGACAAAATTACGATTTTCACTATACTGAAATATTCCTATTAAAATTGACTAAAATGTACTATTATTAGATAATTTACAAATGTGTCACTAAAACATGAACGGTAGTCACATTATTTTAAATAAAAAAATTACTAGATTAGTCTTCATTAGATGACAAAATCTTGTCTACGTTTTCTTCACCTTTATATCTAATATACATTAGAAACAAGTTTACGAATACATGAGCGATAATCGCTTTTCGATTATTAATATCTATGGTATATCTAAATGCATTAGACATTTTAAAGTGCTTAATCACTTGACCTTTGCCATAGACAAAAACAATATTAGGAAAAATGAATTTAAATCAATTTGTGGGTGGCCCTGAAAAGGGCCTTTTATCGTTCTCGCAGTGGGACGTCCGAACTATTAGTTGGTAATGGCGCCACACATCGGACAGTGGACTGCTCGTACGTTCGGTGATGGATCATAAGCACAGAATCTATGAAACATTGCATCACAAGGACAGAAAACCCAACCCACTACCGTGAAGTTCTTGATAAAATTGGCTATAGAGTGAACTGCATTGTTCTTCAGACAGTCGCCTGACTAACGCAATCACTGTATTCTTCATGCTCGGCTGGCTCAATTGCATTGGGAAATAATTCTCAACTGCAATACGAGAAATCAAAGTCGATGTTTCGCGACTTATAAATGCAATACAAACGGGTATTGCCTTCAAATTCATATCAAGGGCTACGACCTGATATAAATAGATATTCTCGTTATTCGTCTTGTATGTTCCGTCCAAACCAATAACATCACCGAAACGATCTGCAAAAATCTTTTGATCACCAGTGGTGAAGAAAAAGTACGATAGACAGTTCTCATAGTCTAATTCGTATTCGCATAGCCCACCCAAAGATGTTATGTGCGCTTTCAATTTTCCATAATCACCTATCGTTTACATTATAAATTGGCAAATGGCTTACCAGGAATGTTCGCCTGTGAGAACACTTTGTACCGCATATTATAGATATCTTGATTATTCAGTAGTTTCCCATAAGAATGGAAAGCATAATTCTTAATGTGGAATGAAGCAGTACCAGATATTAGCAGCGGTCGCACATTTTCAAACTGGGCCTCTGTTAGCCTGCGCACCCATGAATTATCTTGGTACCTCAGGGAATTGCACTCGTGATTGTGATGCACATTCCCACGTACAACAGTCCAGTAGCCGTCTATAATCTTACAATACATGAAGGCCGGACACTGAGTGTTCATGGAAGCCCTTCAAGACAAAAAATGTTAATAACATTTATAAAATTACCTCCTCCGTCTGATCCGCTGTGACGATCGGCTAGATGTTATACGGCCATGTCTCCAGCACACAAATTTAATGTACGAGTTTTCATTTCTGCACAAATGCGAATCTCGAACTACATAATGACAATAAGTTGATCTTTCATAATTTGTGATAGCGGACTTCAACGCTTCAACCGATGGGAACGTAACGAGAAACAAGGTTGTCAAAAAGACTTCCACCATATCTGTTACGTGAGAAACAACAGCACTTGTACTCGGGACGTTACTCTCCGCCATAATGATGATTAAAATGTACTTCGTCGACAAGTGCTGATATTTTATAATAATTCGACAAAACATAACTAACCAATTTAAACGAATTTTAAAACTAGCCATTTCATTGGACGAAACGGGATGAAAAATATTGCATATTTGGGTTGAAAAAACATTTTTAAAAAGGGTGGGTAGGGGGTTTTTTTAAAAAATTGCCGTGGGGCTAATGAATTTCCAACTACGTCACAAGGCATGACCTCACATAGAATCCTCAAGGTCAAAGGAAAAAAGGAAGATCAGAGTACACATTACGCCGGGAAATAGAGATAGACATGAGAAAAATCAACAAAAATTGTATAGAACTGGGAAGGCCCAGTACAGAATAGGTTAGAGAATGCTGGTCGGCGGCCTATGCTCCGTTGGGAGTAACAGATGTAAGTAAGTAAATAATATTTTTTGGTTCAAATAATTGATTAATTAAATATAATGTAACATGGATAGACTAATAAAACTTACTAAGGTGGGATAACCCCACTTTTTAATCGTCTTTCAGGCCACATTCTTGATGTATGCGATATTTGTGACTTTGTTATATTTGAATCCGTTAGATGAGATTTATCATTTAACGATAAAGAATTCATACTTGCTATCCGTCGAATTCCAGTTCTTTTTACACTTGGTGCTGTTGCCATATGAGCATTAGCACGAACAAAATTAATATCACGTCTGATAAATTCAACCTATTAATATAGAAAACAATTTAGATTATAAAACTGTCTATTTGTCTTACTTTTAATCGGAAGCAAAAAATGCTTATGATATTATTGACATCTCGAACTGATCGGAGTTAGACAACCACTGAGAATCTGGAACCACAACGTCTGCTTCTTCTTAGCATGAAACTCTTCAACAATGACCACTCACGACCTTGCCACCAGGGACCTTCAGTCTTGCCCCCGAATACCTAAGCTTCGAACCCCTGAGCAGGAGTCCAATCATGTGCAGGTTGAACTCCATTCAATCTGCTGTATTACTCAACAGCCTCCAATTGTCTTAATAAAATACTACAGATGTGCAATAGATCCCACTAGCCGATTACATTCATACTTGAGTCAGAGATAAACTCAGAATTTGAGTTTCTAAATGTTTGGCTAAGAAAAAAGCCGTACGTCTTTTCACAAAGGTCTATATATAGGAAGTCAATATGGAGTGCGCAAAGTTCAATTACATTCAGTACAAAGAGAAAATTATCTTTATTCTTGAGAGCTAGAATAATGTACTGAAGACATGATCGACAAAAAATTGAAAAATATCAGGAAGTGGATTTCCTCCCTGCTTCAGTGGCAATAGCCTAAAGCCAAAACACCTAGTTGAAGGAACTCCTACTTTACGAAAAATATTTCTTATGGACATTTAGTTCAAAGAGGATGCGACTGCATAGATCTTAAGAAACTAATTGTCGAAATCCCCAGTTTTTATTCAAATGAGTTCTTTTTCAGTATATGCCTGACTCAAGGATGTGTCGAAGATTAACTATCGTTTTGGAGCACTTCAGTATCCATCCATCAGTTAACCTGCCGCTGTGGAGTATATTATATTGGCTGCATAAAGCATTCTGTTTTCAAACGCATATCCGAACACCTTATAGCACAGGTAATAAAGGTGAATCTAAATCCATCGATAACTCGATTACTGAACATCTAGTTAATTCTGATAACCTATCTCCAACAAAATCTTTATTCACAATTATTGATAGTCAGACAAACTGGTTCTAATGGAAGCTGGATAGGAAAATGTTACATAGTAAAGGCATTGGAAACCCATTAATTCAAGCCAGATCTCTGAGTTCAGAAGCGGTTATCTAATCCCTCAGTCTGCCAACTTGTTTTTATTTTTTGAGCTGTTTTATGGCACATGTTCGCTCTCTTATCTATCCTACCTAAATCTCTATAGTGTAATAAGAAAACGTAGATTATCAGAACTATAAATATAGTTCTGATAATCTACTGATTAATAATAGAATTTTTATCGTGGACTGTCGTTACATACAAAATTACTGAAAATCAATGCTAACTCCATACCTGGTTTTACCATGGAGGAAAAATTCTGACGAGCTGAAAGTTAAAATGGGACACTTGTTCACCGGCTTTTTCGTTCTCGGTAGTCCTATAGATGACATTACTTAGCACTGAAAATTAATATTGATTTTAGTGAAATACGTTTTTATCAATATGAACACGAATTCGTTATTTTTAAGTCAGTCAGTCAACTACAACGTAGGACCAGGCACATATATGCATCCTCCAAGTTGCCATACCTCATTAACACAACGAGATGAAAATCAAGTCCATTAAAGTAGTCAATTCAATCGTGGTAATATATAAAAGAAAGATTACATATCACAATATAGTACAGGAAGAAAGAATTAGTTCATAGAAAGAAAGAAATGAGACGATTTTAATCTCATAGTTTAAATGAAGACAGAGATTGTATACACTACACCATTGTGATCGGTTCTGAGCCATGTCATCCAGAATCACCAACCACTGGTTACAATAGTCGCGCGGACACCAGCAAAATAGTGTGTATCTACCAACGCGAATCACATCAGAAGTTAATGACTTCAAGCACTGATGCCGCGTTTTGGTTTGGCCACCCCTAACTTTCTTCTAGCCATCTCCAACACCGGTTAGCATTGCGCGCCGTGGTAATCGGTGTTCAGGCATACGTAACACGTGGCCCAATCATCTCAGTCGATGAAAATTCACAACCTCATCAAATGATTTACCATCATTCCATAATACCCTGCGTCTAACCTCACTATTACTTATCTGGTGATCCTAGCAGATGAGAGAAATATTTCTAAGGCATCTGTAGTCAAGTACTAGTAACTTACGATTATCTTCTACTCTTAATGGCCATGTTTCGCAGCCGTAAAGTAGAACAGAACAAACTGTCACGCAGTATACTCATCCCTTATTTGATAATCGGATATCTCGTCTTCGTTATTTTAGATAACATAGATTAGATTTAATAAATAAACTTACATTTTTGGCTGATTCAGCTTTTGGTACAGATGTTTTAGCTGAATTCAAATGTTTATGTATAGGTGAAATAGGTATACTACTTAAATATTTTAGATCAACTTCGTCTTCAATATCACGAGAATGTGCACGTAAATATTCTGTTTTTTTAATTGATTGAATTGGTGTTAATGTTGCTCGTTGTATTTTTTTATCAGATTTATTTGTTCTTAGTGATAAAGATTGATGAGATTGTCCCTTATTTTTGGAAGAAACACTATGTGAATTAGGCATATGTGGGGGAATAGTTTGCTTCAATTGATCTGTATAATTATCAGTTTGTGTAGATATTGATGAGTTGTTTGGTTGTAGATATTTGGGATTATCAGTTTTGTTTAAATTAGTACTATATTTATTTTGTTTACTAGATTTGATTGCATCAGTTTTTGATAATGACTGAATTGATGTATTAAATCCAGTCTAATAAGCAAATAGAAAATAATTGTTAAACACAATTATTTAACAGTAATCAGTTTATTATATAATAAAAATAATTCAATAGTTGAAATCATGAGTCAATTGAAGCTAGACCTGGAAGCACTGGACGGTCGTTTCATCTTATTGTAGGACTTCTCAGCAGTGCACATCCACGACCACGCCTTGCGAGATTTCAACTCATGACCTATCGGTCTCGTGCGCGAACACTTAACCTCTAGACTACTGAGCCGGCATCCAATGGTGTTAATGTCTAACTTCAACTAATTTACAAAATCGAGCGACACATCCAACATTGTCATCAGTGAGTTACTATCTCACGACAGACCCGATTGAACTCCACTGGTCACTGCTTCCCACCAGAACTCTAGGAAATACTTGTTGAAGCCAGTCACTAATGAGTATATGCTGATAACTTTCTTAAATTAAGTTTAAGGCATTAACCGACTGCTGAGTGGTATACACATGTAAATAAATTTATTAAGATTTAAGTCATAAATTTAACTATTAAAGATAACGATAAATAAACAGGAATTCAACAAACATTTAAACAATCTAAATGTAAGGTAATTGAAATGATGCTACTTTACTACTTATATCAGTGATACGATTCAAGGTGTATTGTCTCAAAGTCTTAATGAGAAGTTATATTTTCAGTGATGAGAGTTTTAATGAAAATTAGTCGAAATTTTCGAATAACTTTTTCTGGTTAGTGTTTTTTAGCGAGTTAGTTTTCTATATGATGGGGTCGCTAACCTCATACCCAACCCTCCTCCTTTATCCGGGCTTGGGACAGGCAGTATCCCCAGAGAGGCCCAACTTCGAGATCAACAGGCAGGATTCCGTGAGGATCGACCGTGTACAGACCAAATCGCAACACTACGGATCATTGTAGAACAATCAATTGAATTGAATTCGCCACTCTACATCAACTTCACTGTCGACGAGAAAGCATTTGATAGCGTGGACAGGACAACACTATGGAAGCTCTTTCCATACTACGGCGTATCTGAGAAGATAGTCGATATCATACGGAATTCATATGGTGGATTAAACTGCAAAATCGTGCGTGGAGGACAGTTGGCAGACTCATTCGTGGTAAAGACCGGTGTCAGGCAACGTTGTTTACTCTCACGCCTTCTCTTTCTCCTGGTGATCGACTAGATAATGAAGACGTCAACATCTTAGGGGAAGCATGGGATACAGTGGACATCTAGGATGCAGCTGGGCAATCTAGACTTCGCAGATGGTCTGGCCCTCCTATCGCAATAGCAACAACAAATGAAGGAGAAGACGACCAGTGTAGCAGCAACCACAGCAGCAATAGATCTCAGCATACAAAAGGGGAAAAGCAAGATTCCTCGATACAACACAGCATGCAACAATCAAATCACACTTGACGAAGAAGATTTGGAAGATGTAAAAACCTCAACATATCTGAGCAGGATGGATCTGATGTAGATGTGAAGGCGCGGATCGACAAAGCAAGAGCAGCATATTTACAACTGAAGAACATCTAGAACTCAAAGATCTGTTTATCAACCAACGCCAAGGTCAGAATTTTTAATACAAATGTTAAGACAGTTCTACTGTAAGGGGTGGAATCTTGGGGAACTAGGAAAGCAACCATCCAGAAGATACAAGTGTTTACTAACAGTTTTCTACGCAAAATACTTCGGATCCGTTGACCAGACACTGTTAGCAACAACCTACTATGGGAGAGAACAAACCAGATCACAGCGGAGGAATTCATCAGGAAGAAGAGCTGGGAGTGAATAAGATACATATTGAAGAAAGCACCCAACTACGTCAAAAGGCATGCCCTCAAGTGGAATCCTCAAGGTCAAAGGAAAAAAGGAAGATCAAAGAACATATTACGTCGAGAAATGGAGACAGACAAGATAAAAATCAACAAAAATTGGATAGAAGTGAGAAGGCCCAGAACAGAGTGGGTTAGAGAATGCAGGCCGGCAGCCTATGCTTCATTGGGAGTAGTAACAGATGTAAGTACGTCGAAATTCATACCGCAAAAACGTTATATTAAGTAAAAAAATCTAGTTGTTTTTATTACCTCCGAAGATATAGGATTTTCATTTGATTGAGATTGTCTAGTTTGTGCATGATGACATGTAATAAATTTGTTGTATGTATTGTTTTGTGTACGATCTGTTGAGAGAACTGATCTACCGCATTGTTCTGCAACACGTTTTTTAAATGTTATACTGTCTTCTAATTGTCTTAGTTGACGAATATTTTCACGAATATAATCTTTTCGACGATTATCTGATAATTTACATGAAACATAGATAAAGTTCTCTAGAATACAGTTGTAAATAAAATAAAATTTATTTAGAAAGCTCACTTGATATTACTATCTCTCAATACGGGACTAAGTTGTGAAGAATTCCAGAAATAACTTTTTAATCAATTTTAAATCAATATACAAAAACAACTGGGTGACTATTTGCTGGTTAGCGTTTTTTTAGCACAGTTTCTTTTCTGCGGGATGGGGTTGCCGATCCCATTCCTCCTCTATCCGGGCTTGAGACTTGCAGTAATTCTCGAAGAGTTACAGACAGCTATTCACAGATAGCTTTTAATCACTGGATACCACGTACGGTGCGTTATAATAACAAATGACTAGTTAGTTTATTAGCGCAAATGAGAGGAATGCACAATATGATCCTCAGCGTCCAATGAGGTTGGATTTAATGGAAGTGTTTACGCAAGTTAATCGGAAAATCCAGTGTCTTAAATTCGTAGATGTTTATCCTTAGACTAGATAATATTGATCATATATGTATTCGAAACATTGCTCGTATATCCTGGGACCAACGAGTAAGTAATGCAGTTGTTAAGAAACGGGTACTAGGTAAGGATGACAAATCAATTGATGAAGTAGTAAAACTTCATCAGTTGAGATGACTGGGACATGTGTTACGTATGCCCAAACACCAACTGCCCCGACGAGCGATGTTTCATGGTGTAGGAGTAGGTTGGAAGAAAGCTAGGGGCGGCCAGACCAAAACATGGCACAAATCCATGAAGTCACAGACAAGTGGACAGTCATGTTGGTAGGTGTAGACTACCTGGTTGGGATTCGCTAGGCGGTAGAAACCGATGGTTAGAGACCCTGAATGACATGGCTCAAAATCTTTTGTAATGGCGCAGGTGCATCTACTCTCTGTGTTCTCCCAAATCCTACTTTCCTGAATCCTCCTTGTCTCTTTTTTTCTCTTTCCAAATTTATTTCACTGGATTACACTTTAAATAACATCTCCAAACCCTAATCTTCCCGATTACTGCTTATACTCTCACCACCTCTATCACTACGGGATTTGAATCGACAACTGCATCTCTGTGTTAATGTGGTGTAGCAACTCGAATTGATGTACGTAGGTACGAAGTTCTACGTTGTTACTGATTGACTGACTGTAAACAATTCACTTACTCAGCATCATCTATATTTTCAGTAAAATAAAAACTTAAATTATACTTATTCATGCTTAAACCCATAAACATTGAGGCTTTATATCTAATCATGAAAATCGAATCAACAAAGTAGCTCACCCACTGAAAGTTCTTATTATAATGGACGCTTTTATGAAGTCACCTGAACAGATAGCTACAAAGTAGGATTTTTGTTCCATCATTTAAAACTTTTATTCTCAATAAATTGTTCTTTCGAAAGCATATTCATTCTTGAAACAATTAAGATATTAATACTTCAACTCAAATTCAAATACAGTAAACTTATCTGTGTGGTTGTAACGCATCATTATAGTTAATAAGAAGTCATTCCTGATTTATTGTTATTCATACAAAATATATGCACCAGCTAATCAACTTTCGTTGAATATTAATAATCCTGAAATGAAACTAAAAATCGAGGACTATTTCCTTCCAACTTCAGCTGAAAAGCTTCGAGATACACCAAAAAGAAAACCCAACGTGTTTTACTGCCAACATTTCTAAGCGTTGCATGTTTTTGTCAGTACTTCATACCGTCTATGATTTCTTGATGATTGAACTTAGGAAGACTGATGTAGCCCAGATGATATGCACAACGTAGATCATAACTTCTCTGTAAACTATAGTTTAAATACTCGACGATAGTTATGAGTCATGAAGTAGTTTTTAAAAGTTTTCCAAACAATTCAATTTATATCAGAAGGGTTCTTGTGGATATTATAGTAATTTCAATGGTTGAGATCATGAGTCAATTAAAGCTAGATCCAGTGCTTCCAGGTTCTTCATGGTGGTCTAGCTTCAACTGACTCATGATCTCAACCATTGAAATTTAATTTATCATAAAATAATGGCATAAAATATCATATTTGTTCGAGAAAATTACTTAAAACAAACCTAACATTCAATTATGACAGAAAATTACCACAACCTAATGAATTACAAGTCTAAATCCATTGAGACATGTTCAACATAAAAAATATAGAATCGAGAGCTACTGCCTTGTAAGTTGTTCCCGTATGACAAAAAATCGGTTAGAAATTTAAACAGCATGTTAAACATTAAACTCGAATAACAAAAGATTTAGTATGTCAACGTTTTTGTAGCCCAGTCAAAATTCCTGTCATTTTTTAGAGTCACACAAAGTGTGATATTTTTATCTACATCCACTGTATATCTACTTTTTGTTTGAACAATGGGCTATCCACCTCCTATATTTTAAAAGAGATCACTTAAGCCGATTAAGATTCAAAATACTCCTTCAATTTAAAACCGTCCTAGCTAAAGTAAAGACATTAAAATTAGTTCTTATCTTTTGTTAAAATTAAAAAACCGAAGCTCAATTTTGAAAATGAAACTGATACTTACTGCGCAATCGTAACCGATCCAATGAACTGTTTGATGTATTCGTTTGCCATTGTAATAAATCAACATTGTACGTTGGACCATTTGTACATTTGAAGTTTGTTTCATCAGTTGATTTCAGATTATGGTTTATTAGATTTGGTTTGTACAGATTTGTATAGTTATTAACAAATACAGGATGATGGGATAATATTGACGTCATACTGAGATACTTTTTGGCGTTTGTGTAAAAAATTTACTATGATTGATAAGCTGAATAATAATAATAATAATAATAAATGAAATTGAAAGATAACTTATTATAACTCCAACCATAACTGTCAAATTTTTTCAGTTAGATCGAATGTACTCTAAAGTCTATTTGCTGATCATGATCTACTTTTTGTCAGGTAACAGATTTTATACTCAATTATTGTTAGAGTGACAATCTTTTATTCGTCAAGTTATTATTTATGTATTTATTTTTATTTAAACACATAAATATTGGTACAAACGGGCACCGAATACATATGTGTTACACAAACCACTTGATTCATGTAAGGGTTGGGATACTGACCGGGTACCCAAGCCAAAGCAGGTGGTTTTCTTAGTGGCCCATCCCCTGGACCTTCGACCCAGAGGTCTAATCCACAAGGCAGCGTAGCTATATCAGGAGATACAGTCCTATGGTAGCGAGTGACCAACAATACGCCATTTGTTTCCTTAGGATCCTGGATCTCATGTACATCGTTGGCTTGGAACCAGGGTTTTCAAGCTCCCCTATGTGAACTTCCCGTGTCCACCAACCAGGTTAAATCTCCAGACATTCGCTTTTCGTCCTCATGATTTCGTAAACAATACCCGTGGTGCGAGAAGGCAGTGAGTAGGAATTTTCTGTCAGTGGCTGTATACGCGTGGCCATGTTAAGGCACTTCGAGAAGGTGAGTTGACTCTTCCCACCCTCATCCATACCACAGCATTCGAGGTTATTTCTCTCTCATAAGCAAAGTTAACCAAATTTAAAAAATCAGAAACACTGGTCGATAATTCTTTAAACCACCACTATACTATTGCGAGAAAAACGATTAAGGTTAATTAACTTCTAAAACAATATAGATCGTTGATACCTAAATTAGTAGACCAAACAATAATAATAATCTATTGATAAATGTTAACCACTACGACAGCATCCGAGAAAAAGCACGAAAATTCGAGTCACATGCCGAATATACAGAAGCGAACAAAGTAGTAGAGAAAAGCAGCAGAGTTGTAAAGTGAAAGCTCGTAGACTCAACAATTACAGCAGAAAAGGTGCAAGAGGGAATTGAAAAAAGCTGCATGGTACTACCTAAATGCTACCATGGAAATATAGTAGATTTATGCAAGAGCCTATTTGTTGACGTCTTCCACGACGAACGGTAATCAGTAGGGAGGATAGTTTAACGAAGCATTTGCTGATAGAACTCACCAAGACTTCTAAAGTCTGTCTACGTGACTCTACTTGCTGATTAACTCATCAGTACATAAGAGCTTTGGTTTCCGCCTGCACTACGATTATCGTACTATTTTTGGGCCAATTATATGGAAGAAATCAGAATTGAAATATAAAACTTTACTATTTTTGATAGTGAGTATTGTTTCTCAGTGTTCTGTTGTTTGATATGTCGCTTGTCATGCATTATAATTGGTTTCTATAAGGTAAAGCTGGATCGAATTAAAAGCCGATCAGTCACGATTAAATTAGACTGTGTCACAAATGTGATCTAAAAAACGTGATACATCACATTAGTGTGATGAGATTAACAGTCGAAACAATCTAGTAACATTATCGATTAAAAAAGACTAAAACGCGAATATAGTTTGAAAGGATAATGAAAATGTAATCATAAATGAATGGTAGAACTGTAGATCTAGAGAAAAAAGGAGTGAGTTCACCTGAACCATTGAGATGGATTTCGAACTTATTGTCGGACGAACGTGCTGAACCACAGATCATAATCATCACACTGACCCGAACAAGATGATAGTCTGAATGGCTCAACAATGATCATAATATAAGTCAACGAATTCACATAAAGATGCCACTTTTATATTAACTAACTACTAGCTTTCTTTCAACTAGGTCCCAAAGCAGCCAACCCAAGTAATTAAGTGATCGAAAACGCGCCAAAAGGTCTGCTTTTTCGTCTACTATTCGGAAATAAAGTGAAATTTCCACTTTTTTCGCCTTAGATTTCGATGTGCAAATGACAAACTGATAATCCAGATTCTAGCTGAAGCGATTGTTTCAAGAGTAAAAAAATAATTTACCTGATTCGTAACGTGTAAGAAGAATGAATCAAAAGGATAAAAGTGGGAACGGAAATGATAATAAGAGAGGTAGGAAGTAGTTACTGGTATGTGGTAATGATAGTCGTGGTAATTTACGAGACATGCATCAGACACAGATGGTCAAAGAAGAGAATGGTAATCTGTGAATAGGCAGTTGTTTATCAAGTTCCCTCTAAAAGCTATCGACTGATGTGGCCATGGTCACCCCGGCTGGGGGCGCATTCTGAACGGGAGAAACCTTTGATGAGAAAAAGTAAAAGCGTATCTGTTCTTTGGTGTGCAGTCTTTTGAAGGTTGCCTTGAGGAGCGTGTTGATGATATTCTGGTACTATGTTAGTGTTGGGGTGGCTCGGTGCACTTAATATATTTTCGGCCACTATCAGGTCACTTCTCATCCCCCTGTAACACAACCAGAATCACCCCGGATGTTGGGGTCTGCCCCGTAAGGTTTTTGTTTGAGATACTTTATCCAATTGAGTTCCTGCCTATAAAATTAGTCCGAGAAACATATTATTTTGTAGTTTAAGCTGGTGTCCTAATTCTCCGTGGTTGCAAGCCCGAGAACGTTCAAAAGAGACAATTGGGAGAGGATTCGCGCGCAGGGTGAAAGCGCTTTAAGTTAAATGAGGAAGAATGTTCATGACGTGATATTTCGACAGGTTATGTTTGAACTGTTTATCTATTGCCGATTTTTCTATTGTAGGGTACCTTTTAAACTCAAGTGAATAATTTTCGCTCTTTGTAGATCTTTAAGTCTTTTCATCATCTGCATAGATTAGCTCTGTTAATTTATTTTTATCTAACACGTTAATATGGATCAAGAGAAAGGAATGATCTAAGACATCTTAGGTCAATACTGACATATATATAATCCATTATTAAACTGCTGATGTATAATCATCTGAAATCGTTTCGACAAGCAAATTATAGAAAGCTAGCAACTCAACTGAATTTAAATACTAACACAGAATTCCTTTAATTATTGAGAATGTTTTCAGAAACATGAGTTACTCGGAAGGAGAATTTTCGTTACAAGCGCTGATACATTGTTACCAAAAAGCGTAAACAGTCGTTTATTAAAACAATAATTAATTATGTATTTATTCCTAACAGATACTTGAAAACTTTCCGTCACAGGCTTCATTCTCACTTATAGTTCTGTATCTCTGACTTGAAAAATGCCTTAGCATGTTTCTTATATGAGGACCTTTAAATATATGTTCGTGTGATAAAGTAATATAGTACTTCTATGTCCAAATTATCTTATACATAATAGTGCATAGTATAAGAATCATATTAGGTTTCGATTTACATAAGAGGGGACGGAATAAGCCATAACGTATATAACGAGTTTCACTACAATAGTAAAGTTCAATGAAGTTCATCATATTTGTATTAGCGTCAGCCCTGCATACTAGAACTGTTTTGACATTCTTATTGAAGATTTCGACTTTGAAACTGGTTGACAGGCAGTTATTTTGAGTTCCATGTGTTCTCCAACTGTAGGAACGCTGCCCTTTCGTTACCAATCCTTACCTTCACACTCGGATTAGATCATCCTTGTTTATTGATGATGCTGACCAGGTACGTGAAAGTTTCCACACCTTCCAGAGTTTCGTCATCGAATGTGATTGGGTTGGTGTTCTGCACGTTGTATTTGAGGATGTTGCTTTTTCCTTTGTGTATGTTGAGACTTAGTGCTACAGTGGTTGGTGCTACACCTGCTGTCTCCACCTGCAATTGTTGGTATGTATGGGATAGAAGAGCTAGGTCATCTGCGAAGTCCAAGTCGTCTAGCTGCCTCCAAACTGTCTACCGTATTCCGTGCTTCCCCTCAGATGTGGAAGTCCTTATAATTCAGTCAAACACCAGTAGGAAGAATAAGTCGGAAAGTAAGCAGACTCGTCTGACTTTGGTCGTAACTTGGAATGCATCTGTCAACTGTCCTCCATGCACGACTTCGCAGTGTAGTCCGTCGTATGAATTCCGGATGGTGTCGATGAGATAACTGCTTACACCATGAAGTCGGAATACGTTCCATAATGTTCTCCTATCCACACCGTCAAACGCTTTCTCATAGTTAATGAATTTGATGAACAGTGACTAATTCCATTCAATGGAATGTTGAAAGATGATCAGTAGTGTTGAGATTTGGTTCGTGGACTACCGGTACTTATGGAATCCGACCTGTTGATCTCGAAGCTAAGTGTCCACTGAATCATTCAACCGGTTCAGCAACACTCTGTCGGAAAATTTTTCTGTTACTGACAGTAGTGTGATGCCCTTATTGTTCTCACACATACTGAGATTTCCTTTCTTTGGTATCTTGATGAGGTATTCTTCTTTCCATTCTATCAGCATTTGTTACTCCTCCTAAATCTTTCAGAATAGGATGTGAAGCATGTTTGCAGTTACTTCAATATCTGACTTCAGTGCTACAGCCGATATGTTGTCAGGTTCTACTGCTTCCCCACAGTTGATCTGTCTGCCATCCTGATTTTTTCTATTGTTGATGGAGTGGCAACCATAGGAATGTGCGTGTGTGGTTCTTCGACGTCTGGTGGGTTCAGCGGGACTGGTCTATTCAAGAGTTCTTTAGAGTGCTCTACCCACCTGTTCCACCGTTCGTCAGTTTCACTGGTTGACCTGGCTTGTTGATTATTGACTTCTAGTTCTGTGCTGTGTGCTACTTAGCTCGACAGATATAAATAGTGTGTATCATCAGTCTAAGATGTAGTGCCTGAAGGCAGAACTTTAATAAGGTCAAGGAAAGGAGAACGATAACATAGAGTGATCGGTGTGGAATCGAATGACCTCTGGATTCCCAAACGATTAATTGACACTTGCAGAAGGAATAGTCAGGTTTGAGACAAGTGATTAACATTTTTCAAATGAAGCATTTATTGTAGGGCTATCACGTATTTCTGCTTGTCAGCTCTAATGCTCTTCTTCGTATGCTTGTTTGCTTTTGAGTATTTCTTATGATGATGCCTGTTCGACCCAGCACTCTGTTACACGTTGAGGTTAGTGCTTCGTTTATCCCTTTTCACTTGTTGTCCATTGTAATTTCGTCTTCTTTGAGTAGAACTTTATTATTATTATTATTATTGCAAGTCTTGGAACAATTGGTTGGGAGTTATTTTGTATTCGTTGAGTTCGTCAGTATCTCGAATGAGGGCTGTATTGAACCTTTTTACTGCTGTTTGTCGAATTGCCTAATGCTTCTTTAGCTTCAGTGTATTCTTGGCCACGACTAGGTGTTGATCTGAAGCTATAAGAGCTCCTCTCTAGATTCTCATGTTTTCCACTGACCTACTGAACGTTTTAGTGATACACATATGACCGATCTTATTATCTGTAGTGTGATGTAGTGAGACCCATGTAGCTTTGTGTATGTGTCTGTGTGCGAATATTGTCCCGCCTACAACCAATTAGTTGAATGCACATGGGTTTGCACGTCTGTCACCATTCTCTTTCCCATCTCTCAGTACATGTCATTTCATGATATCTTCATACCAGGTGTTGTCCATTCCGACTTTGGCGTTTAGGTTGTGGGATTACGGTCAACTTCGTTATTAGTACTGCTTTAATAATATACCTCATCCTAAAATATTAGATTTGCCACGATATAACTGCCTAATCTATAAGGTCTTGCGTGGAAGTCTCATCATCATCTACACCAACTCATTGGATCGTAACAAGTACCAATATATAATGGAGAACACATCCAGGCTGGAGAGAGAACAATATTTTTAATGTGGGTAAAAGTATGTTGTACAGAGCGACTACGCCTGCGAGGTTGAGTCATTCCATCCGATCAACTCGATTTAATTCGATTCATTGTTGCCGTCTTCCCCATCGTTCGGTTTTCTCCGCGTTAAATGATGAATATCTATTTCCCGAATTATCTCGCGTTCAGCTTTGAGGATTGTGGAGTTAGGGCCCAAAACCACTACAAGGTCTCTCATCAGGATGGTCAAGTTATTTCCTGAGCACTTCTCTGTGATCAATTTATTGTGATACCCTCCTTCCTCGTAAATGAAAGATGTTTTGATAATCCTGGATCCATGAGATTTTAATCGCATAAGAGTTTTAGGTGCATCTTTGGACAGCACCAGAGCAACTTCCTCAGTATGTGGAGCATTTTCTTCTTCGTGAGCAATGCACAGCAAGACCTCTTTTGAATCTGTCTTCTTCTGTCCAACTTTGATCCAGTAGGCTTCACTTATTCCGAGCACCGTCATTTGTATCTCCTCTATTCCACAGCTAATTGGTTAGTCTTCTTATGCTTTTACTTTGTTTGAACATTCCATGTATTTATACTAATTGTTCTTCTTGATTTAGGTTGGGTCATCGGCCTCATGATTTTCAAAGAATCCCGGCTTTCAACATGAGATGTAATTTTTACTCCGAATCCCAAGTTAGAGTCTGAATGGTTTAATTTGGATGTTCTAGTTGTCGTTCTCTTGCAAGTTTTTTCTACGGGGTGAGGATGTCTACCCGATGTCCGACCTCTCGCTTTTACCAGGGCTTGACACCGGCGTAGCCCACTCACAGAATACAGATACCACGATTTCGCTGATGAGACATGCTATACAAGCGAGGGAACTAAATATATCAGTTCGCACTGAACTGGCTAACACACTCGGGATGAAAATTTGAATAAAATTCAGGAGACGAAAGATCCTGTAACGGAACACCAGGTGATGAATATAACCACCAAGTACCTGTGTGCCAATATAGAGGACTTAAAGATTAACTAGAAGGAATCGGAAGCGTGTTTTCAATTAGGTATGAAGATCATAGTCCTCACTAAAATATGGCTATCATCCTACATGTTGGATTGAAAAGTAAGCTTGCAAGACACGACATTTTTCAGATACGACAGAGTGCACAAAACATGAGGCGGAGGAAAAATATACACTAACAGTCACTTCAAAACCACAACACTACACATTACCGAATTAACCGGGGTGACAGAATCATTTTGGAGTCGTACCAATGTAAAGGGCACGACATATTGGATTGAAGGAATATGATGGCCCTCCTCACAGGTTCCAACACTCAAAAATGAGACAATACAGGCTATTCTAAAGCTATTTTACCTGGGTTTGACAAAATTCTACTAGCTGGAAGTATCAACACTCCACCTGTCCATCTCCGCAAGTAGGATACTGCCCTTACAGGGCGGTTCCATAGGCAGCTTGTTAGAGTCATTAGAAGTTTAGGACGGAATAAACATTCAGGTGACATCACGAACTGGGAACGGAACGGAAAAACATCAAACTTATTTGTTGGCAAATAATCACCTTCTGGGTGATGATGTCAATGTCCGGCCAACGAAAGGAAATATTGACCGTATTTCAGTAATATTTACCATGTTTACATTAAACACTGAGAAGAAAAAAGAATTTTCTTCACCTCACTACAAGATATACAAACCCACATACTAATACTAAGTTGACTAGAATGGCTTGAGTACCATCCACTAGACATTACCGAATACCCGCAACTGTACCGAAACATGAAGTGAGGGCAAAGGAATCATTTAGTTTAATCAAACTCGTGACATTGTTATTGAGTCGCCGCGAAAGTTCAAAGTTTCGCCACAACTGTGCAGTTGTACTAGAAAAATGACTATTGGGGTTATGGAAGAGCGTAATCAAGACGCCACAATATATGTTGGTGGATTGGACGAAAAAGTTAACGAATCAATCCTTTGGGAACTTTTTCTTCAGGCGGGACCAGTAGTCAACGTTCACATGCCTAAAGACCGAATAAACATGCAGCATCAGGGGTACGTTTGTCAGTGAATTTATGCCCAGTTTTATTGATTTATATGTAACTAACAGATTTATGAACTGATAATAACAGTTGAAAAATGACTTCTATTCACTAGCATTTCGTTTGCACAAAAGTTCTTAGCATCCATTTGAATTGGTAAGTACTAGAGAATAATCCACATATTTATCATTAGGCATAACTGCAACCCATTTCCCGCTACTCTTTTCATCACACAGTAAATGACTTAGGCTACAGTTATTTTTTAATAAGTATGAAAGAAATGTGATTGGCTAACTTTATTACAACAAATATCCTGTCTGGTTGTGGGATCGTCTACTTTATACCTTTTCAACCACTGCAGTTCAATTATTCTTTTCGAGCCTAATATTTTCCATCACTGTCATGTGTAAAACATGGTTGTGATTATTCATCCACATCAACGATCATTCTTATATTGTCGACTTAAATATGCACCATTTCTTGATTACAGCTAGTTACTGAGTATGGTAACATACTAAAGCGTTCCTAATCCTTGTGCATAAGTAATTTTTCTGTCTACTCTCAACTGATATTTTTGTTATTCGTGTCTTAACTTTTGATAAAGATGGATCGTCAGAATATCTTTGTCAGTACATTATCTTGGTTAAAGCTCAAACAAGAAGCATATTAGTTCACTTAAGTGTCAGTATTCTGAGTCCTATTTATACTTTTGTTGGTGTTAATGACCAGTCGAATAGTAACTTTAATTTAGATTATTCCATTTAAGTCTTCGCGACATTGTTTACAAAACAAGGCTAAAAGTCTATGTTAGCTCTTTTCTAGTATACTGTGGGTGTCGAATTAGCTAACTGATCGTAAGGACATCATTTTCGGTAGTGGGTTTCAAGAGTTGATTACTCGATAGGAAAATCCGTATGTCACAGGCATTTTGTTCATTCTTTTAAATTCTACGACATCTACTGATTGTGCCGGCCTGTTTGAAAGAAAATATCAGATCTAAAATCAGTCAGTCAGCTACAATCCACGACCAGGCACATATGCGCATCGGTCCAAGTTGTCACATTTCATTAGCACAGTAAGATGGACAAATTCATAGAAGCAGTTACTTCAGTGGTAGTAAAAATGACTTCATACAGGGAAAAAGAATTAGTTCGTAGAAAGAAAGATATAAAGTAAATTTAGTCTCACGGTTTAATAGAAGACTAAGAGTGTACACTTACTCCATCATGATCGGTTCTGAGCCGTGTCAGCAAAGTAGACTGCATCTACCAACACGAATCACACCATAAGTTGGTGGATTTATGGATTAATGCCACGCTTTAGTTTAGCTGCCCCTAATTCCCTTCTATCCGTTTCCAAAACTAGTCAGCATTGCGTGTCGTGGTAATCGGTGGTTGAGCATGCGTTATACGCGGCCCAACCATCTCAGTCGATGTAGATTCACAACCTCATCAACTGATTTACCACAATCCAAAATCACCTCACAGTATCTCATACATCAGAATTAGATTTACGAAAAAAATGATACAGATCCTTATAAGGTTATAGATGAGTTAAAGTTGTCAGCAGGTGAGACATAAACAGCCTCATAACTTACAGATAATCAATCAAATTAACAGTAGAAGCAGACATAAAGTTCTAAAATTTTGAAGACCAGAAGTAGAGTATTCATGGTTATGTCACTTTGATGTACGATCATAGACGTTGGTATTATAAGTATTAAGTGGTGTGTACCAGCATTAAAATCGTTTTCAGAGCTTATGGCAAACTGTCATCTACTTTTGCAACCTCAAGTGGTGTCCGTCAAGGCTGTCCACTTTCCCCATTTTTGTTTAACTTCATCATAGATCTACTGATGGAAATAGCTTTCTCGTCGACTGAGTTCTTGGGTATTGATCTCCATCCAGGAGGTCCACTTATCGACTTAGAATACGCAGATGACATAGTCCTGTTTGGTGAAGACGCTGACAAAATGCAGAGTCTTTTGGTAGCACTAAGCAACGATGCCAGAATGTTTGGAATGCGCTTCTCTCCCTCTAAATGCAAGTTGTTGCTTCAGGACTGGTCTGCGTCAACACCTGAACTAAGGATAGGGAGTGAAGTAGTCGAACGCGTTGGCAACTTCACTTATCTTGGAAGTCTGATCAGCCCTAATGGGTTGGTATCTGACGAAATCTCAGCACGGATCCGAAAAGCTCGCTTGGCTTTTGCCAACTTGCGTCACCTTTGGCGAAGGCGAGATATCCGTCTATCAATAAAAGAACGAGTACATTGCGCGGCAGTTCGTTCTGTTTTACTTTACGGCTGCGAAACATGGCCATTAAGAGTAGAAGACGCTCGTAAGCTATTAGTATTCGACCACAGATGCCTTAGAAATATTGCTGGCATCTGCTGGGATCACCGGGTAAGTAATAGGGAAGTTAAACGCAGGGTATTAGGGAATGATGGTAAATCATTTGATGAGGTTGTGAATCTTCATCGACTGAGATGATTGGGCCACGTGTTACGTATGCCTGAACACCGATTACCACGACGTGCAATGCTATCCGGTATTGTAGATGGTTGGAAGAAAGTTAGGGGTGGCCAAACCAAAACGTGGCATCAGTGCTTGAAGACACTAACTTCTAGTCTGAGCCATGTTGGTAGATGCAGACTACTTGGTTGGGGTCCGCGTGACTGTCGTAACCAATGGTTGGAGACTCTTGGTGACATGGCTCAGAATTGATCACAATGGCGTCGGTGTATACACTCCCTGTCTTCCCTTAAACTAAGAGATTAAAATCACTTCATATCTTTCTTTCTACGAACCAATTCTTTCTTCTTGTACTATATTTCTATATGCAATCTTTCTCTTATATATTACCACCTTTGACATAACCACTGCTATGAATCCGGTGTTCATCTTGTTATGCTGATGCGGTATGGCAACCTGGACCGATGCACATATGTGCCTGGTCCTACGTTGTAGCTGACTAACTGACTGAGTTTGGTTCATCAGTGTTTTAATTCATTTAACTTGTACCTAATTAGCATATACTTCTTTAAAATTCCGTATAGTCCACTCTCCTCGAAATGCTCTCACATGGCCACACGTATATAGCCTCTGCCATGGAAGTCCTACTCACTGCCTTCTCGTGGCGGGGGATGTTGTTTACGGAGTCGAGAGGACGAAAAGCGAAGGTCCGGTTCTTTAGTTAGATCAGTGGACACGGAGGGTCCACCCAGGGGAGTTGGGTAACCCTGATTCCGAACCAATGGTGCACATGGGCTCCAGTACCCTAAGGGAACAAATGGCGTATGAACCAATCGTTGGTCACCGGCTACCATGGGACTGTATCTCTTTACGATGCTCCACTGCCTTGTGGATCAGACCTTTAGGTCGAAGACTCCGGGAGTGGCCCTTTAAGAAAGCCACGTGCTTCGGTTTGGACACTTGTGCAGTATCACAGCCCTCACACAAGTCAAATGAGATTTGTGTGACGCACATGTATCTGGTGCCCTTATGTACCAGTATTTGTGTTCAAATAATAATAATAATAATAGTAATAATAATAATAACAATAATAATAATAATAGTTCATACTTAATAACATTACTCGGTCATCAAATCTATCGTACATTTTTTGTTTGCAGTTAACTGATAGTCATCAATTATTTACCCACCATGTTAATCGTGACAGATTTCTTATGGTAATCAGACTATGGCTGATTGTAATGAATAAGATTAGTTCGTTTTCATTCTTACTAGCAAAAGTAATTTCACGTCATTTTTGCCTTCTAACCAATTATCAGCACAACCTATCCTACCAATTAATAATAACTTTCATCTCTTTATTCGCATTGCAACCTAGTGGTTTAGGTTGTCAACTTTCAACTACCTGGACTCTGGGTAACGGCTTCAGACCATCTCTAATAAACTTCAGTGTATACAGTGTTGTAGAGCGGTGGCTGAGAAGTTCAACTTTTAACCACCAAGTCTTCGGTTTAAACCCGTTGTACCTACTTTGGTTTGAGCAACCAGATAGTATCATTAGCCCTTACACTTGAAGTTTGGCTCATACCCAAGTACCTGGTGAATAGGTTAATTTATTCTACACATTGTTACTAACTTACAAATGACATTACTTTCGTCATCCTTATGCAGCTTTCAGATTCAATGCTATACCCACATTGGGATCACTTTTACATCTAAAGCAGAAACACTTCTGTTGAATGTCTCTTAGGTCCCCGTTACTAGGAAATTTGCTTCAAACATCGCTTTATTTCTCACCAAAACAATCTCACATTATTGCATCAGTAATATATTTCTATCCTACAAAACTTTAGGAGTTACATCATTTAAGGCACATAAAGTAGCCAGTATCCAAGTTGATCTACTACTCTCTAATGGGCTTGTATCCAATTGTATAAGGATACTAATCGTCTGTAAAAATAGCGCTCTCGGCTACTCATTGACTTATTTTCAGGTTATCAATAGTGTAGAAATAACAAACAATCAACACTGCTCTTCAATACCTATTTTGGATCAGCTGTTTTTCATAATACACTAGTGGTACATATTTGAGGTGGTGTAACTTATTTATTTTTGATATTTACTATCGACCGACCCCTGATAGTGAAAGGTTTCTGTCAGATATTTTCATTGGTTCGTATAGTTTACGTTGTTTACCTCCTCCATATCTTCTTGTTATCCGTTTTAGTTACGGATTTGTAGAGTTTATGACGGAAGAAGATGCCGACTATGCTATGCGTATTATGAACATGATTAAATTGTATGGGAAGCCTATTCGCGTAAATAAAGCATCAGCGAATCAGAAAAATCTTGATATAGGTGCTAATATTTTTATTGGCAACTTAGATCCTGAGGTAGATGAAAAGCTACTGTACGATACTTTCAGTGCATTTGGTGTTATACTGCAAACTCCAAAAATTATGCGTGACCCTGAAACAGGAAATTCTAAAGGGTACGCATTTATCAATTTTGCAAGTTTTGAAGCTAGTGATGCAGCAATTGAAGCGATGAACGGACAGTATCTTTGTAATCGAGCCATCACTATCTCATATGCATTCAAAAAAGACAGTAAAGGTGAACGCCATGGCTCAGCTGCTGAACGTTTGTTAGCTGCCCAAAGTCCTCTTTCTCAAGTAAGTGAAATTGATCAGACTGAATTGACGTGGTTATTTGTATTATTTTTACAATATGTACATTATTAGACCTACAATACAATATGAGCTAAAACAGTTGTTTAACCTTTTACTAGCTTTTAATTAACACAAAATGATTCCTCATCTGAAGATTGCAGTTGTTAGTGACACATACTGACTGTAAAAGTTGTCTGATTATGTAGCTAATTGTTGCAGTCGAACGCATATATTACTAATTTACAAAAGCAGAAGTATTACTTTTCAAGGTTCTGCGTTACGTCTGATTGACTGACTAATCACTTTTCAAGGGAATGTAGATTTCTCGTTTATATTTTAACACAACGTTCGTTTGTTGTTTTACTTACTTCATTTGATGTAACTGGATAGTTTCGTATCCTCTGTTAATTCGTGTTTAAATTCGAAATAAAGAAAATCCAATAAATCAAGCAGTTAAGTTAGTAATATTTTGACTGAAACTCTAACTTTTACACTCTCATTAATTCATTTTTTTCCTTTTTTTAAATTTCGTACCTGAAATTCTCAATTATTCATGACCAATACTTCCTTTATGAGTGATGGTAACAACCATTACTTTTCAATACGTTTGTATTAACCGACAGCGTAACATGAGTGATATGTAAATGATCAAAATATGGATGAAATACACTAAATACTCCTTAATATTTTGTAGGTAATTTACAAATGCAAACCAAAAATATAATGACATTACTTATATAACGTCACTCTGTTACAGTGTAGTACTATTTTACGCTTCCGAAAATAATTGATCAGTACATAAAAATACGAAATAAAAAGTAGCTTTACGATTAAGTTCTAAATTTCGAAAATTGGTGAGTGAGGAATAAAATCTTTCCATAACCTGAAAATTCCGTATCAGAGTCGCTTCGAGTAACAGCCAACAACTCACTGTATAGAAACTATTCTAGTCCTTCATCACATTACTTTTTTATCTTGATTGTTTTTTAAAAATGATTAATAATATGGTAATTGAGTGAAATTACGTTAGAAATCAACACAAAGCGCATGGAAACAGTATACAGATTTCTATATTGCAGTGACTTGTCGAGTTGCTCGAGTTCGTTTGTTAAATGCCAATTACATTTCTTATCTCTAAATCCCTGCACAAATTATGTAATTTCATTGATAATATTCATAGAAACACATCAGCTATTAGATTAGTTTCGTAATACTAAATACTTACAGATAATTTATTAACAACTTCACTGATAATAACTGAGTGGAGAATTCACTTCTTGTAGTTAAAAGCTGTTTAATTTGCCACTAACAGTTCGATTAAAATTAGTAACTTATTGTTAGGCACAATCAATGTGAAATAGAATTTGCTGATCGACGGTTTTCTACAACCTTTTTCTATACACTTGTTTATTTTAATAAAATAATGTAACTCAGTCACCGAGTATAGGTTTTGATCCCACTTGCTTGTGTGAGAGCTAGTGGTACTATCCAGCTGTCCAAAGCAAAATAACTAGAGGACTCTAGTTTGTAACTTTCTGGTTAAAAACCGAGTGCCGTAAACACCAAGTCAATTCTTCTGCTTATGAATTACATAAAATTTCAAGTTAACTCATATTTTAAAATTTTTCTCCTAGGCTGAGCGCCCACATCAGCTGTTTGCAGATGCCCCACCACCTCCTCCTCCTCCGCCCCCACCCGCCCTGCTTGCAGGGACTATGGCCCATTCAGTTCCAACCATGACATCTATCACAATACCTGCTGGATCTCTAGTCATGCCGCCGCCTCCGCCTCCGCCAATTCAAACCGCCTTGGTGGGATTCGGGCAGTCTATGGTTCATGGTGCCATGCCACCCCCTCCCCCACCTCCCCCACCACCTGTTCTGCCGATCCCTGTTGCCTCCGCTGCTCCGACATCCTTCCCACCTCCGCCGCCGCCTCCTCCGTCTAACTTTTCTGCACCTCCACCACCACCGTTTCAAGGATTTCCACTCCAAGCCCCAGACCAGCAGTAGCAAACGACAGGATCTACAGCTCCTGGACCTACACAAGTTGCATAACAATAACAGTATTTCTGATGTTTCCAGTTTCCTCTATAAAATATAGTGTAAAGTATTAAGAGTGTTCTTTTTTATAACATCGATGACATAATCAAAATGCTTTGTTGATAGAAAGAAAGTGATACTGAATAATTCTGCTTTTAAGGATCTGACTATCAAAGGTAGAAATGAGTTGATCTTTGTAATATAGAGAATTTTAAAAGCGACTAGCATTTACATGTAAATTGTAGTCAATCCGGCAAAATATTTTGACACAGTTATATGTTGTTTTATCTAACTCTAATTGCGAAGTTTGTTATCACATAATTTTTATTGTTTTTAAATATCACATTCTTTTGTAAGTACGATTGGGAAGGTGATATTCCAAACAATTTCTACCTAAAGCTAATTTCGTACTGTATCCGAACATCCACCATGTGTACCCTACCTACTCCCACCGTTTTTTCCTAACTTCTTCCTCAGCTAGGTTGCTGTTTGTTGGAGTAGCTTTATTGCTGTTGGTCTCTGCCCAAAATATTTGGAGTATCTTTCAGGTACGCAAAATAGATTTCACCATGTTTCTATCCATATGTCGAATGCTTTCTCACGATCCAAGAAGTTGACAGACAGAAATGACCTTCATTCACCTGATTTTCCAAAAGTCATAGGCAGTCTCGCAATTTTGTCGGTATATGATTGATCCCTAAGGAATCCAGCTAGATCTCTAAGTTGGTGATCTGCTGGATCTTTTATTCTGTTCAGCAACATTGTTAGAAGCTTTACCTGCTTCTGACAATAGTGTGTTCCTTTGTATTTCTCATACTTATTAAGATCTGCTTTCTTCGATGTCTTGATGAGATGTCCTTCCTTACAGTCCATTGTTTCTTCTTCCTTCCAACCTTTCCGAAGAGAACATGGGATATCTATAAGGTTGCCTCCATACCTGACTTCAACGCTTCATCTGGTATTCTGTTTGGTTCTGGCGCTTCACCATCCCTGATTTGTCTGATGCGCTTGCAGATCTATATTATGGTCAGTAGAGTGTTATCAACGGAGAGTTCTGTGAGTGCTGCTCCGACATTTAGTGGGTTCATTGAGCCTGATCTGTTCAAGAGCTTTCTGAAAAGTACTCTACTCTTCATATTCAATGATTACTTTTCCTTATTTGTTCTCGTTTTCTATATCTCTTTGCTAGCCTTTTGGTTGTATCATATAGGTCTTTCATGTTTCTTTCTCTTGTATTTTGTCCAGTTGTAGTTACCAGGTCTTCCACATATTTCGGCTTGTCAGCTATAATGTTCTTCTTGACCCAGTTTGAATCTATATATTGAATATATGGCTTGAGCTTCTTTGATTTGTTTGGCTGTTGTTGACTTCTGTCTTCCTGTCTTTTATTTCCTGACCCTTTTCCAGGTTGTCTTTAGAGATCCATCCTTTAGGATGACACTTCTTGAGTTTTTAGACACAGTGAACGATTCATCTAAGAGTACACTTAAATTGTAAGTGAATGTGAACTAATATTCTCGCAAAAACATAAAGATGAAAAACTCAATCAAATGATATCCGGGTCATCTAAAAAATATCCACTATCAAACATATTCGTATCAGTGTAAGTAGACTGGAATGAGAGAGTAAATCCGTCAAACCAACGTAATTTAGAACGTGGCACTAGTACATCGGTCCAAGTTTCCATATTTCATTAGCACAAGTGAAATCGTCAGGGCAAATTCCAGGGTAGCAGAAGTAGTAACAGTATTAGTGGAAACAAGGAAAACCTGGAAACAGAGTTCGAGAGGAAGTTTAAATTGGTCAAATGAAAAATAAATTTTTAAGGTAGTTTAGAAACTTAGGATTTAAAGATGAGAAGTGGATACTCCTCTGCCTTTGCGAACGGTTCTAAGCCATGTCTATGACCATTGATTACGACATAATATACGCACCCCTACCGAATAGTCTGGACCTATCCACACTGCTCAGTACAACAATCAGTGTCTTCATGGATTTATGCCATGTTTGGCTACCCTTAGCTTCCTACCAACCCACTCCTGCACCAGCCATCATCGGGCGTAAAGGTGGTCAGTCGATAGGCATATGTAATACATGTCCTAGCAATCTCAATTAGTGAAGATTCACTACAGCATCAATTGGTTTGACATACGTACCTTGTATCCAAGGTCTAGACTCAGAATCGCTAACCCGACGATCTCAATGGTTCGGAGAAACCTATAGTCGACTACTAGTAATCTACTAAAATCTTTTATTCATAATTATCGACAGTTCGTCATACTTGTGTGTGGACTGTGATACTGCCCGGGTGCCCAAACCGAAGCAGGTGGTTATCTTAGGGGGCCACACCCCGAGCCTTTGACCTAAAGGTCTAACCCACAAAGCAGTGGAGCATCGTAAAGAGATACAGTCCCATGGTAGCCGGTGACCAACGATTGGTTCATACGCCATTTGTTCCCTCAGGGTACTGGAGCCCATGTGCACCATTGGTTTGGGATCCGGTTAAAGCGCCGGGCATTCGTTTTTCGTCCTCTCATTTTCGTAAACAACACCCCCGGTGAGATAAGGCAGTGAGTAGGACTTCCATGGCAGAGGCTATATACGCGTGGCCATGTGAGAGCATTTCGAGAGGGAGGGCGGGCCCACCTCACTCTCGGCCATACCAGGGCATTTAAATAAATAATAATTTATTCATAATTAGTATGATTCAGATCCTTGATGAAGGACAAAGTGAACTACTGCGTAGTATACTCTCCCTTTAGTTAGCAGACAGAAAGTTTCCCTACTCTATAAGTTTCTAAAAGCTGTCCGAACTTCGTGAACTCGCGTCGAGACTTCGTCAGACACCAATCGACCGCGACTGGTGAGACTTCCAAGATAAGTAAAGTGGTCGATATAGACCAGTCCTAAAGTGACATTTTGCCTTTAGAGAGGGAGGAACTCATCCCAAATATACTATCATTAATGCTCTGGATTGTCAGAAGGCTACATTTTTTCTGTGTATTCACCAAACGAGACTATGCCATCTGCATATTCTAAGCCATCAAAGGAATCTCCTGGTAGAAGATCGATTCCTGATAAGTCATACAGTGAAAGTGTTTTATCCAAAAGAATGCATATCATAAAGTTTTATTAAGATAGGAAAAATGGAGAACTATGGGAAACATCACTTGAAGTTATCAATTACGATAACAGTTTTCCATAAGCTCCGACTCAAGTAGTATTGTTCGAGAAGAGAGCCTGTACACGGTTGATATAATTTGGTTTCCCTTCCGATAACCTGCATTTAAATAAAACATATCGAGCTATGGAATCAAACGTTTCTTTAGGGTAGAGAAATACGACTATGATTGAAAGTTGATATGTATGTTTGTGTTCGAGGACCTGACGAAATGCAAATATTTGGTCTGCACACCCATGCCTGAAAACCGCCTGGTTTTCCCAAGTTTGCTCTTCGTGAGCTCTAGTTAAGCAACGGGTGATTTTTGAGGCTAATTTTTTAAACTATGTTAGCAAACTGGTTCTCTTGTCGTTATCACAAGAAGAGTTTTATCCTTTCTTATAGACTTCAACGATTAGCGATCGAGACCAGTCAGAAAAGAATACTTTTATTTTCCAAACTCTAGCCAAGATCTCAGTTAACCTAACAATCAAAACTAGACTATCATCTTTAAAGACCTCAAGGACTTATCCATCATGGCCTACTGTTCCCCATCTTTTCAGTTTTGCTGTGGCTTTCTCTACTTTAAGAGTCGGAGGGTTTATACTGACATCCCATTCATGTAAAAGTAGACAGATGAAGAATAGATGGAGAGCTACTTAGCTGTCCTTGAGATTACTTTACTCATTTTTCCAGTCTCCTGGGTTGCGAGTGAATCATTGACCCATGTTTTTCAAAAATAGTCCAACCAACTACTGAATATTTCATACCTGTTCCTTTGATATGTCTGGAAGTTGTCTACTGTTGTCCATCATCACCTTTTCTATCGCATCTACCCTATCTGCTCATCTCTGTGGCTGGGGTTTACTAGATTTCTGGAACATGTTCCAAATAATTTATACTACATCCAGTGCTCAGGATTGGATGGTGAATCCTGGTAGGCGGTCTATGCTTTTCTACGAGAGGTAAGAGGCGTAAATAAGTAAGTATGCCTAGTACTCATTGAATAATTCAATGGTAAATTTCTCTAACTGTGACTTTGATTACTTAAGAGAACATAATTTTCTCAGAGCTGCGAATTTACTCTAATGATTAATAGCATAAGGTATGGTACTTAGAATCAAGATTTCACCTTAATTGCCTCTGATCATCTAATAGAAAATGGATTATTACGCAATCATTTTCTTTTTAGTGACTGTAACTGTTATTCAGCAACTTTGAAAATTAATAATTTTAATTCACTTCGGTTTTGTTTTCAAGTCATTACCGTTTTGTTATTTCTATAAATTATTAAAACGAAATTATGTCTAACAGGGGAATGTAGTACGTTCATTTCATTTTATATAGAACTGATTAGACAGACTTGTCTAGATTCCAATATTAATGCAGACAAGGAGAATTGAATTATGCACAGACAATACCTAGCCTGTCGTATGCACTGATGGTGTTCTCGTAACTTTCGGGTTGCATGATCTGCCAAGGGCGATGGGACAGTGCGTGATGCTATTGTTATGTGCTAGGTTCAAAGAGAATTATATGCTATATGCATGAAAATCGGCCCCGTTATTGTTCTAAACTCCGCTTGTAGCTCTTCTAGAGTTACTGCCGGTTCCAAGCCTGGGTAAAGGAGGAGGGTTAGGCATAGGGTTAGCGTAGAAAACTAACTCACTAAATCACTAGGTACAGTTAACGGCTAATTCGTTCAATGAGTGTATAATTATTATTATCCTGTTGTTAGTATTCAAGATGGAATTTTTATTAATGACTTTTGTAAGCTAAGAAAAACAATTTGTTATTTTTCTGCTTCTTATAACTAAACACAGAATGACGTGGCTCGACTTAAGAGCGAGAGTAAGACTTTAACTGAAGGTTTATTATGGAGTGAAAATAAATAGAAAACTATATCCGA